CAGCAGAGCCACATGTAGCATGCAAAGGTGTTTGGCACCCCCGAAGGCGCGCAGCAAGTCAAGCGTGCCGTCTGCTGTGAGGCCGCCCACGTTCCAAGTTGCCAGGTGAAAACAGTGCACCCCCTTCAGGGGTCGGTAAGTGCTCAGCGGTGCGGGCGACGGTTCGTCCTCCGCCTCGCTGTCATCAGTGCTGCCTGTTGGCTCTTTTTCTCAGCGGAGAGATGCGGAGAGCTTGCTTCAGCTCCCCCCATGCCTCGGTGATGGTGGCCAGGGGTTGCCCCAGGCCTTGGGCGATAGCTCGTCGACCCAGCCAGCGCCAGCCGTCTCTGCTCCCGCGACGGGGCTGGTGGTAGCGGAGCGCACCCTTGTAGCCTTCCACCAGACAGTTCCAGTGGGCCACTCGACTTCGAGGCCGTGCGTGCTGCCCCCGTTGGCTGACAGTATCAGCCGCTTCACCTTCCCGGCCAGATGTGCTCGGCGACGCCGTTCAGGAGACTGGGACATCTGTAGCCAAAGGTAACGATTCCCCCCATCTTCGCGGCGGCCCATGGCGATGTTGGCCGTCCTAACTCTCTTGATGGCTTGTTGCAGGCGTTCTCTGAGTTCTCCCCCGGTCTCGTTCTGCCTTGGCTTGTAAGGGATTATCACGTATCCTCGGCGCACCCCCGGGCAGAAAGCGGTGTCGGTGTCGATGTCGATGCGGAGCTGCTGGATCATGCCCTTAGCCTTCTCCAATGTTTCGGCCGCCGGGGAGTCATCCCCCCATCCCCCCATAATGAGGGCGGGTTGTTTGAGGCTCCCTTCCGTATCTGCCGTTGAGCTTCCCCCGTGCAACTGTAGCTGGTGCACCTTTTGCTCAAGTTGGCTGAGGCGGCTTCCTTGTTCTCGGTGGTCGGCTTGCACTGTGGCCAATGTGCGTCCCTGTTCCGCCTGGTTGTCCGTGAGGGCTGCCAACTTTTCCAGGGTGCGTTCCAGTTGGCTCCCCACCTTCTCCTCCACGGTGTCCATTCTCTTGTTGACTGATTGTGCGATCTCCTGCTTGAGAGCCAGGCTGTTCTGCGAAAGCTCTCCTTTGATGACTTCCCTGATGGCATCCAGACTAAGTCCGTCACCTCCTTCTGGGGCTCCCCTCTTTTTGGCTCCCCCCGGTCCTTCTGCATCCATCGGCGTGGTCATGGTTATTATTCTCGGTCAGGCTGCCAAGTCACGATCACTGGGTTCACTTAGCCGGCGTTCGAGGTACTCCTCCCGGGCGGTCGCTGTGAGGTTGGAGAGCTTGAGTAGGGCCGCCGAGGCCGTACCGGTAGCTGGTGTCAAGCTCCCCCGCTCGCTTCAGCGCCGGTCCCCCCGAGCTCCGAAGTTGCCGACTTCGCCCGGAAAAGCGGTGAGCTCGAAGGCGCGTAGTGCAACAAACTGGTAGGTTGTGCACGAATGGCGGCACGTCTGCCCTGGGCCTCAGAGGCAGGATGTCTCACCTGACGGGGTCGCAGGTTCCCCCTTACTTCGGTTGAGGTGCCCGGACGCGGGGCTGGCACCTTGAGCACTCACGGCTTGAGCCAAAATGGCTTGAGCCAAAATGGCTACGCACTCTCTCTCTCTCTCTCTCTCTCTCTCTCTCTCTCTCTCTCTCTCTCTCTCTCTCTCTCTGTATTCTTTCAACACACAGAACAGTGTCAGAGCAAGGCCAGTGCTTCAATGTGGCTAAGGCCCGAACTTTTCAAACTGATAAAACAGCTCCGGTATTTTGAATTCCTTGTTTTGGAATGAAGCGTTCTGTCACTGCCGGTTTGCGGGCAGCTGCATTGCAACCACATATCACATATCAAAAAAGAAACCATCAACAACACTCATTTTTCTGTTACGGGGAAACTGTGCTTGCGCCGGAGTCACAGCCTAACTCCACTCTATGCACGTCCGACCAGTCATCCAAAATGATTCCCTGTCAGCACCCGACGTGCGGATCCAGTCTCTCCACCGAGCTCAAAGCCAAAGCTCCTGCAGGCACTTTCGCAGCACAGCTTTGAAATGCAAAGCAACGAGAGCGAGGAGTCACTTCGCTTCGCGAAGTTCCTTCGAAGCCACCGCACAGGTACAGGTGACCTGTCGCGAAATCACTGCGCATCGCAACTATTTGTAGGGACTGCGGTATCCCGCATCTCCAAGTCGCCTGGGCAAAGAGGGTCCAGGATATCTGCAGCTGCTGATCGTGCTGCTTGACACACCTGCTGCAGCGAGGCAAGCCTTCTGGGGTCGCTTCAGGCACTTGGCACATGTTGAAAGCCTCTGTTCAACTGGCACCTCGCGGAGAGCACGCATCGCGGAGTATCCGGCAAAGCTGCCGATGGCATAAGCGACTGCCTTCAGGTATAAAGCAAAGAGTAAACGCCAAGCGAAGCTCACGGCCACTGCATGACACGTTGTCACGCCCGGATGTCGATCACGGCATCCAGCGGCGCCTGTTGAGTTGCAATCGAAAAAGAGAGAATGCCATGTGCCGTCATATGCCATATAAGGCGGGTCGGAAGAGCGGGTTGTTGAGGCGTGGACGCAAGGGCCAAGACCATAGACCGCACCTGAGCTTACACTGTCTGCTCAAGATTGCTCAAGCCCATGCATCGCACTCCACACTCTGGCAGGAGGCCCTCCAACAAAATAGCGAGAAGAAGCTACCACCCCCACCCCACGATTTCCACAGCTTCCGGACCAATTCTTAATTTACATCCAGCGAGGTTGATCCCCGAATCCCGAATCCTAATCGGAAGGCTAGAGCTTCAACGCGCTGCAGTATCGAGGCAGATGGGAGCGAACACAAAAACAGTGTCCACGATGTCTCACGTACCTCCTGCTTTAGGTCATGCCGAATTTCTGTCAAGTGGCAGATCAGACACGTAAAACAATGAACAACACCATTGCGATAATTGTGAAGGGGACGCATGTCTTCCCGATCCGCACTTAGTACGGGACGTAGCGCACATTGCATGTTCCTGTTGTCCTGTTGCTAAAACGGCTAAAGCTTTGTATTCTGACTGTGCGTCCACCAGTCACAGCACATAAAAAGGATGGCTGGCACAGAATTACCGGCAGCCGTGTGGGACGTTTGAGTCACCGGCATGCTTGGTCGAAGCGGCGGCGGTGCAGGTGCACCAGAAATCGCACGCTGTCCACTGTCTCGGAGGCGAAGCAGTCTCACAAAAAGCGATGTGTCCTCGAACATGGCCTTCCTGAGCAATCCATGACTTTCATCTGAGTTCCAGTCGCCATTGCTCGAGAGACAGTCACGAAGGGCACCAACCTTCCCACAAAGCAGAGTTGCACTATGGCTTGAGCTCCGAATCTGACGAGCAACTGCTTGGCGCCTCTTCTCTGCAGCTGTCAACCTCTCTGCGCAAGTGCGCAATGAGGCCCTGGCACCAAGCCGAGGAACAAACAAGATTGCCATGAGCTGCATCCCAGCCTGTTGATGGGCCAGCTCTTGGCTCAGAAGATGCAGACTTGGGTCCTGCACTTCACTACGCAGGTGTGGATTGCCAGCGCACTGTGAATGCTTCGGTCCATGTTGGGCAGCTGCAACTGTTTTCAGGCAAAGCAACGCGATTTCAGGCTGGGATCTGTACTGCCACGAGAACTGTTCATGCTCTGCACTCGCAATCGGCTAGAATCTTAGAAGCTAGCCACACAAGCGATGCCTCCCTTGCTTCTGAGTGTTCCGAGTGTCGTCATGGGCTGGCAGGCTCAGCTTCGTTAATTCGTTGCATGTAGTTGGACTGCAGTGCTAAGCCATGCGGCAGGAAAACCCACACGCACACATACACACACCGACACACACCGACACATACACACACCCGCCGGCCCAAATCATCTTTGCCTTAGCGCAGTACTAGCCTCCGTTGAATCGCTCCGGCAAGGCAAGGCCCCGGCCATAGCGTTCCCATGTCTTCAATGTCAACCCCAGGTTTTTTGGAGTTCCCAAGGCACCCAAGGAACCGAAGGTGACTTGGACTTGGCATTATCCGAAGCTGCCCGGCCTCGGCCTCTCCGAGCTCCATGGCGACCGGGGGATCCGCAGCGACGCGCGATGCGCGAAATCTACAAAGTTCTCCCAGGCCTTCACTCGTTACTCGCTGAGACTTCCCGCTCTGTCGAACTCTGAGACTCTGGGTTTTTTGAACAGTTAGGCCACTGGGCTCAAAGGCCAAGCGCCGCTGGAAGTCTTGTAGATGTCTGCTCGCTTTCTAGACGCATTCGCATTCTCATGGGGATGTGCAGCTGTGAGCGAAGTATCCACAGTATAGTCCGGTCTAGAGAACTTAGCAGCATGTCCAATGGTATCTGAGCCTTCGGATGAGGCAGCCAGTGTGGAATCTCAGCAGCTGAGGCTCCAGATTCGGAGTCTTTGTGAGCATCATGGTGGGGCACCACTGGACACTGTAGAGATGGTGTCATGTGCAGCCGTTTGGAGGGCATAACACGCAGTGCAGAATCGGATAACACAGGGGGTGCTGGGAACTGTCAAAATTTATGTGAAGAAACCGCAACCCCAAACAACAATTCATCTTCTGCTGCGGACTGTACAAGAGCGCCTGTCCAACTCTGAAGACAAGCTGAGGCTGAGCTTTGAAGTGCTTCAACTTCAACTTTGGGACGCAAACAGCTCGGCTGTAGAAACTGGCAGTCAGGTCTGGGCGTAGGCTTGATGCTTCGCGTTTGCTGAGCTGTCCGCCTCCAGCTCAGTTGCATTTACTGGGCCGGTTCCATTGGTCACGGCCGCAGGCCCACCGGTTCCCGGCAGGCCCGAGAGCTACTTGCGAATCGCTGTAAATCGCTCACAGCAAAATACGCCCTCTGATTTAGCTCGAGTGGTGCTGCAACGCATCGTCTTGAAAGAGAGGATGTTTGACTCGTGATTACGGCTGAAGAAGTTTTAGTCAAAGCTTGGTTGACCCCTCCTCCCTGCGGCCATCTGCGGCCATCAGACCGGATGAACCTTGCTGAAAGGCCTTTCAGTCCCAGCCAGGGCTGGCCGAACGCGGACGTTTCGTCTCCTTCGGCACGCAGGGCGGCTTTGCAGGACATGTGCTTTGAGAAGTTGCGAGCCTGGTTTGAGCTTCCTCGCACGCGGCCACGGGGAAGCAGACTTGCCCCTTGCATGCCTCAGCATGCCCAAAACTGTGTCCTGAATCCTGGTCGATGGAATGTCGATGATCTTGCTCTGAGCTTCTAGCTGAATCTGCTTAGATGTGCAAGAGACAATCCTTGACTCCAATGCAACTGCAGCATGTCGTCTCAGGAAAAGAACTAGAATTCAGCGTACCTTCTTCCTCGGCAGTCTCCTTGCGAGCATGCCGAACCTCAGTCTCAGAATGCAAGCCTATCTTTGGCACGTCAGCCTTACCGCAAGTGTCGCGCGAAGGCTTTGATGGAAGCAATTTTCAGCTCGAGCTGCCTGCCAAAGCACATGGGGGGATTCTCTGGAAGCTTCCTGCAACGGCCTCGGGGGACCTCCCAGCAGCATGGTACAGTTGCAGCGGGCGCCTGTTCCGCCGCATCAGGTCTGAATAGTATACCTTTGCCTTGGACGCAGCGACTCTTCCAAGCTCGTGGGAAATCGCGCAGGGTTTTACTGCAGGATCTTTCTGCTATGCCAGGCCACCCGTATCTCCTGCGTCTCCACAGCCTCCTCGTCCGCAGCCGCACTTTTTTCCACTTCCATCCTGGACTCCGTGGTCGCCACCTTTGCTTAGGCAGCGCCGTCCCTTCTGTTTCCAGTTTTGGTTGAAGCCTCTTGACTCGGGCAGCCAACCTCAGCATGATCCTCCAAGATTTCAACCTCGCCACTGCGGACACGCTACAAGCACTCACTGCTCGTCGTCGTCTTCTTGCGACCAGCATAACTAGAACTTTTTCTGCAGGGTCGCAGCACGCCCCTGCAAAGTCGTTGAGAGAGGAACCCAGCCCTTCTTCCCGGCGCTCCTCACGGAGCTTCTCGGAAACGGATCGGAAGCAGTCCTGGCACCTCCGGTGGAAGAATTACAGAGAACTGCGCCGCGCTGCAACAGCCCCAAACCATGCCTATTTCTGATTTATGCTGACATGCAGAACCAGCGAAGCCCACTGTGGCAAAGCCCAAACGCCGCAGACGCAACAGGAACCATGGGAGCACACGTCGGCTAAGGCATGCCTAGCCCTTCGCTTGACAAGCCAGCCTGATGCAATTTGTCGCGAGGCTCTCAACCTGCCACGTTCGGGCAAAGGAGCGCAACAGACTTCACTACCGAGCTGCAACGTTCTGAGGTGGTTTACACCGGCACGGAGAGAGCAGGCCTCAAGCACCAGACGACGCATCATGCTCTTGGAGACCGCCACATCCAAGCCCTGAACCGGCCGCCTGAATCAAGTGATTATGTGACGGTCTAATAGCACCAGAAACGAGCATCTTAGATCGAAAATCATCAACGCTGAAGGAGATACACCTTTCTAGCATCGTCTAACCGCCAAGAACCCAACTAGACCTGGCCCAACCGCCCCAAACCTGACCTAAGACAGGGGAAGCCTAAGGCCAGAATGCTAAGAAGGCTTCAAGTACGCAATAAACACTCAATACGGCCTGGGCTTGCCCTGGCAGAGCTTAGACTCAGACTGAAAAGGACAGGGCGAGCAAAATCCTACACGGAACTGTCGGGTGGCAGATCGGAGCCACAGCTTCAGCCTGTCAAACCCAACATCAAAACAAGGAGCGGTTACGTGACCAACCTCAATCTCTACAAAAGATGTTGAGTGAGAATACCCCCACATACCCCCTGAAATTCGAGAGTTGCATTTTCCCGTTTAGGGTCGTCAGCTAGCAGCAGGAGAGCGAACGATCGGTTGGCCGGCTCACTGATGCTACACTGGATTCCACAAGGTCAGCTCAGGCGTCGACAGGTTCGACTATGATTAGGTCAAGTCAAGTTAGTGAAATAATGTGCTGCGTTACGTTAGGTCAGGCTCTTCGAGACACGTATCTGTCACATTTCAGCCGGAAATGTTGAGACTTGCCTTCTTTATGCTGTGCCTGCGCTGCCTCATACGAGCATGCACAAGAATGACAGTGACATCGAGTCGGGGTAACCAATGAAGCACCGTGGACCCGAAGCAGTGAAAACCGTGTGGTCACCGTTGAAAACTCCAAGCTCAGTGAACGACTTGAGCAGTTCAGCACCATGTCTTCTGCGAGACGCTTTTAAGGGTCCAGCTTCATGCGCAGGATCGCCTCGATGAAGTGGAATGCCTTGTGACGCAAAGGGCACGATCCCGGAGCAGAAGTCGGTGGCCCAGCACGAAGAAACAGCGGATGGTGTGAAAACTGCAACAGGCAGGACTGACATTGCATGACAGTAACTTGAGGGTGGGGGTATTGCTTCCTAGCAGCTTTACTTGCCTTAATCTTCGCTTATCTTCTCACCGTCCTGTATCGTCCTGCCCCGTATTACTGCTCCGTTCGCGCCTTCACCCTCTCAGTGTTCGTCAAGTTCAGCCTCCAAGACGCGCACACTTCCACACCAGCAAGGCAAAGCCGAAATGTTCTCGGCAGGGCTGAGACAGCTGAGACACTCACTTCTGATACACCATGAGGGCTTGATCTGGACGCATGCCGATGAGCTCCAAACTGCGCAGAATGATACCAAAACATACGGAAGTTGATCTGCCAACGCAAGCTTGATCACGAAGCCTCTTGGCAAATCGCTTGTCCTGGCTTTCCATAACACGCTTTGAAGTTTAAAGCATGCCCCCCAAGTGACAAGTGCTGTGTTTGCAGTTTGCCGTCCTGCAAGAGGTAATTGAGCTCTCGCATGGTCACGAGTGTCGGGTCGACGGGCATCAGGTCCTCAGTGCAGCCAAGCATGTCGCCATTCCATCGGCCCTTGCACCATGGCCTCTAGCTCCCCTGCTTCGAGCATTCCGGCACCGGGAACTGTTGCAGCCCTGGCCTCGTTGTTATGCTTTGGTCTGCTCTTCTCTTCTCGCAAAATAATCTTCCGGAGGCGAGCCTTCACAATCGTGAAATTGCCGCCATACCTCAGCCGAATTGCATCCTCTGCATTGCAACATCCTCTTCCATGGTTCATGTGGAAGCTAACTTGGCAACCGACCGAAAAGCGAAGACCTGTAGTGGCATCGATGTGCTAAGCGTATTGCAAGGTCTTCAAGTTTCTGTCGCCTTCGACAATGACACCGGCCGGAAGACGATTGTTTGAGAAGACGTCCTGCGGCAAAACGTGTCAAGTCGTGACATGCTGCCACTGGATTTGGCGGACGCAGATCCGTGCAGAACCTGCGAGTCCAGAGGCACTGCTCTTTTGCAAAGTCGCCTGCTTTCCGACAAACGGCCCAACTGCCAGCCTTTGACCCTCCCCGTCCTGACGCGATGCTGCTGACCAGCTTCCTCATCTCCCTCATCTGGCTGATGCTGATTGTGATCAGTCTGTTGGATAACCTCAGCAGTCAGGCGAAGTCAACATGCGAAGTGGCTACACTACCTGGGTGTAGCCATGCCATGCTGTCGGTGAACGCATCTCAGAAGCGAGCAAGGCATGGTTCAGCTTTGCCTGGAGCTTGGCCAGTATCGGCACATGCCGCAAGCCCAGGCTTGAGCGCGGAAGTGCACAAAAGCGTGGCGGCTCTGCCGCCCTCCCAGGTGAGCGAACTCTTCCTGTGGCAAGCACAGGTTTACAATCATGCAAAACAAATGATTCACACAAGACATGCCGGGGCAACATCGGATCACTGTCCGCGTCTGGAGACAGCTTCGGGTTCTGCAAGGCTTGAGAACCATCAGGTGCTGCCAACTGCTGTCAGGCGCGTCTTCTCTGTGTAATCTGCGAAAAGGGTGTTGGCTCACTCAGCTCGCTCAGCATACCTACCTGTGTTTCAGCAACCCGGGTCCAGTGTCAGAAGTACATCAATGCCAACCTCTTCTTCGGAAACCTTGGCTGACACATCATCTGATTTCACCTCAGTACGCTGGGACATACCGAGAGTATACGAAGAAGCTCAGCGAACGGCCCAGAGGCATCGAGTAACCTGCATTCAGCGGGGCCGCAAAAGCAATACTTGTCTGCGCAAGACGGCCAGAGACATTGCTGAAAGTCTGGTCGGGAGCCGCAAAAACATGAAGCCAGTTCCACCGCTAAAATCTACCATAATCTACCGCTGCCGAAACTTGTCGGCATACAACTCGCCGCTGAGTCTTACAGCTTGCTGGCAGCCTGAGAAGGCATCGTGCCTCTGCATAGTTGTCATCATCAAAAGCAGACACCAGGAATTGCTCCTGAAGAAGTTCGGTGACCTTTATCTTCATTTTTATAACATGAAACAAGCAGCACAGCTACTCTGGGCGACTGGCTTCAGGTGGAGGTGGAGGCTGAGCTCCTACTCGGCACTGGTTTTGAACTTCACAAAACTCCAAAGCAGTAGAAGCAGCACTTATCGTCCTGGATGTGCCGGCGCTTCAGGAACTGGGACCGGTGCCCTGGCGTCGGCATCAGTAAACAGACTCCTTCACAGACACTGACAAGCCGTTGGTAGAGAGGCTCCCGGCAGGGAGAGGTGCTGCAAGAACCAACATGGTGACTCTGCGCTACAGAATCTGAGTCGCATGTCAAACTACGAGCGCCCAGCGTCCAGCTCTCAGTCGTCGCAAAAGTATCCACTGATCCTGGGCGCGACTGCCAGTGACAGGGCCCGTTCTCAACTCCGGTCCCCGCGGAACAAGGGCCAAGGGGCCAGATCGGAGATGTGAGACCAGCCTTAGACCGGGAATCCGCTTTCTGCTCTCGCCAGGCTCGGGCAGTGCATGCCTCCTCTGCCACACTGCTAGTTGAGATTTGCTGAGACTGAGGGAAGTAGGACACGCAGCTGGTAACCTGGTGTTGGCGGGTTGGCTGTTCAGCCGAGACTCGATGGATCGGTCGAAAATCTCATCGTGTGCTTCTCGCGGATTCGGTTTACCCGTTCCTACAGCACAAGCCCGCATGGCAAATAAGCAAACTAACTCATATGATGGCCTTAACCTTCTGCTGCTGTCGCTCCACATGGCGATGCATGTCGTCATAACATTGTCCCATCACCTCAACAATGCAACGCGGCAGCAAGACCCGATTCGTCAGACGATGTCTGCATACTATCTGGGCGTCGGCCACTGTAGCTGTTAGAAGAATACCGCCCACGCGACATGCCCCAATTGCCTAACGTGGTCTCTGGTACCTTGTGCATCTGCTCACGGGCGGTCACGAGCCGGTCAATGCTCTTCTCTTTGCTGTCGTCCTGTGTGCGAATGCACACACTTCCTCTAGGCTTGCCTTGGCACTCAGAGTACACTCTGCATACAGGCCATGCCGCACTCCATGTCCTTCAGGAAGGAGAAAGCGGTCTGAACCATGACGCCCGTCACGAGATTCAACATGCCTGAAAGTGCGCAGCACTCGCTTGCTGGTGCCTTTTCCATGTACCGAAAGACCGAAAGCCTCCATGCATGCAAAGTGAAACACTGACCCCGGCACAGAGCTAGTCATTGCCGCAAGAGAATCGTCATGGACATGCTTCAACTTTTCGGCCCGCCTGGCCTAAACTGCAAACCGCCAAGAAGAGGATTGTAAATATGGGCATAAATATTGCCAGGGAGGGGTATGCTGCAACTTCCGCCACTCTCAAGCTCCAACTGCTGTATGTGCTCATTGTCAGCAGCGAGAGCATGCTGCTTGGGATGTTGCCCCACTTGGCCTGGATGTTTGCATCATTTTGGGTGTCCTCGCTGCGACCGACAAACTCGACCATCAGAATGGCATTTGCATAGATGAAAATAGTCATCATTATCACCGACCTGCAAATGAACCGGATGTTGCCGACAAAGCCGTTGACGAGTCTCGACAGATCTTTCACCAAATGGAGCAGCCGAACCAAACGAAGCAGTCGGAGCAAACTTACCAGTCTCAAGGCCGGTGTTTGATTCCCTGCGAAACGTAACACGAAGGTGTCAAGCAACGATACCAGCACTGTAATCACATCGAAAAGGAAGAGCTTGTCCATAAAGAGTCTCCAGGAGTACTTGATGATGTCGACCACTTGGTTGAAGGTCAAAGTTGAAGCGATCTTTGGGACTACGAAGAGAAAGAGTTCATGCTCTCCCATAACTTCCATCTGGTACTTGAAGATGGCACGCAAGAAAAGCTCGGTTGTGAAAGTCAGTGTGAAGAACGCTTCCAGCATGAACCAGGCCATGGCCTCGGCTTCCAAGATGGGGCAGGTTTGATCTGGCTTTGCTTTGGCTTTGCTTTGACAAGTGGCAGGGCTTTGGAAGCTTCTCGCGGTCAAGTCGGACAATCTTGGAGGCAACAGGACAATATCCACGCCAAGCTTGACCGCATTGAGCACCTCGGCATGGGAGGAGCCAGGAGGCTGCGCGGCACCTTTGGCCAGCCTGGCCATTGCCCGAGCCGAGCCACCAAAACGACTGCAAAGAACATGTCAAAGGCCGTTTGGCTCCTGGCCGCTTTTCGAGGAACAAAGTGACATAGATGGCTGGCACCATCGAACAGGCTAAGCGGAGTAAGCTCCCCACGCTGTGAACAGTCGTGCTTCCTGCCACTGCCAAGAGTGTCACTTGCTAAGATGCAAACTGGCAGAAATTGAGAAAGCGAGAAACTGTCATTTTCGAGCTGCTTCCCGATCCTAGATGGTTGAACAAGCACCACCCACTTGCCTGCTCTTCGAACATACGACGTCTCTCTTGCATCTCGGGACTTTCGGATAGCTCAGAGATGGCGGCGACTGCTTTGCTCACGGTGGCCTCCGAAGAACTCAACTGGACTGACTGTCGCTCCTTTGGTTCATGCCGGGATCATACCATGGCGGACGCCAGGCAAGTGGCACTGTATTCACATGTGATCTCCCACCTCTTTGGAAGACATTTTCCTCAGATTTTTCAATGTTCACAATCTCTCCGCTCACGAATCACAAACATTCACAAACTCCCTATGAAGAACGGCGTACGTTGTCTCATTGCGGTTTCGCAAGCAATGTGTGTGATGCCTTTAAGCACCGCGGCAGCTTTACTCAGGCAATAGTGAGGGCACAACAACACATTGAAACGGATCAAATCACGGCAGCCTGCAGCCCGTTTAGCCAGGTGTGAGACATGGGGCGATGGCAGCCCACGGACACGTTGCTTAGGCGACAGGTTTGTCAGCTTTTGGCTTCAAGGAGTCAAGCAGCCCCAATGAGACCAGAGTACAAAGCACTTTGGGACTGTGCGATTTCGCCGTCAGAAAGGGCCAATGGCGACGCCGGAAACTCGCGGGCACCAGACATGGCATCGTAGCCGCCAGGACTTGCTCCATCCTACCAGTAAGAACCTGACGCAGTGTCCAAGTGGTGGACAATCCGCGAAATTGCAAAAAACGGACGCCGCTTGAGCATCGATCTCCTCCCCTGCCTTGTCGGCCTTCCATCTCCTTGGTGGGGGGGGGGGGGCCCGGTCTCGTGAGCCCGAATTCGTCTTGCCTGGCCTCGATCCGCTGCACGTGCTCAAAGAGCTTCTCGAGGTCCGGCCTTTTCGAAAAGTCTTCTTTGCTGGAGCCGCCGATGGTACCCAGAGTGGTCCCGAGCGGGATGCATAGACATGCTGCGAGCCTGGAAAGCGGCCGCCGATGTCCTGAACGACGCGACTCCTCACGATCTTGGCGCCCGCTCCGTGTCGGTAATCCAGCACATACACCGCAACTTGCAGGGGACGGCCTTACACATCTCGCCACACGCCAGACACTCCACGAACTGGCCGTGGTGGTTCCACAACCAAAAGCGCGAGGTCGGGGTGATGGCGGCATCTGTCGACGCGGTCCTCTTTGCTTGTCCCGCCCGCTGTCGTCACTACGGCAGCGTTATCGTCACGATGCCTCCAGGTCCGCTCGCAAAGCCGCCGAGAAGAATGGGCATGCAGTATATCGCCCGAAAATCGTCTATTCTAGATTGGGCTGCACGCAGCCCAACTCACCGAACGGGATCTCACGGCAACCCGAGCGACGTGAACGAAGGAAGCATGCTGAAGGTCAACGTGCTGGGCACTGCCGGGGTGTGCAGAGCTCTCGACACTTCGTTTGGCGGCCTTCTTCGGTGTGGCCTCGACAGCGTCTCACGGCTCCCACCACGGTCCTCCAGGTCTGCAGAAACTCCGTGCCGGCCAACTGCAGCGAGACCCTCCGGCTGGTGCTTCAGCGTGCTGGCACCCACGCTAGCTTAGCGTAGCGTTGAGGAAATTGTTGTCAAGCTTGACATAACGAACCAAGCTCAGCAACACAGTACTTGTGGCCAGGGACGACTTGGCGGCAGGGTTCGTGGATTCTAGTGGCTTGGTCGTCTGCTACGGCAGGTCTTGTCCACAGTCTGCAGCGCCTCATTAGAGGGTCCAGATTTGTTTGCAGAATGCATGAACGAACTGCTGAATGTTCCGCTGCTGCTCAACACTCCCACCCCACCGCTCGCTTGATACAGCACAGTGACACCCCCTTGCACCACTTGAAGCACGTTCTCATCTTTTCTCATCAGTAGACCGATTCCCGAACCCAGAGCTAGACACTGGAGTCACTAGAGGCTTGAGAGCTGTTGGTTGTGATACTGCAATCATTCCATCATCATCAACGACCTCGGTCTGAGCTCTTGCGTCTCAGGGCCCTGACGAGATCACTTCTGGGGAGCAAGGCGGAATCTGTTCGCCTACACTTTCCTCTCGAGGATTCCGATTTGCGGAACGGTGCAAGGCAATAGAGCACTTGCATCTGGATCCACTTGTGCAGCCAAGCTTCTGCAACAAAGGCTGAAGCTGTGAGCTGCACTCCTTCAGCGAGTTGCCGGCGAGCTCAAAGAAAGTGTCCATGCTGGACATCCTTTCATATATTAGCCACAAGCCGCGCATGACACCTCAGTCGAGCTGATGCATGTGGCGATATGCTCACTGTCTGACATGCTGCCGGCGACTGTTGTGGACCACGGCGAAATCAATTATGTGCAAACACGTTGCCCACTATGTCCAGCGGGTGCGCTCTCGATTTCATGAACACCAAGCTCTCGATGAACTCATCTATGGTGATGCCTGCACAGCACTGCGTCGTCCTTCTCTACTCGAAACCAGAACCGATCGACAGTCAAGCTAATCGCAATGATGCTGCCAGCATTGTCGCCCATGAGGTTCTCCACTTCAGAGCATACGGCATCAATGTCTTGCATAGACACCCCCGCTGCTGCGAAAAGACCAGGCAACTCGGAACGAAGATCTTCGATCTCACCTGTCACAGAAACATAAATGCACCATGACGGCTAGTTTGCGAGGCATCTGCTGCAGCACCATGCTGTCTGCTGCAGCTTGTGAGATGCATGACATGTTGGACATTCGATTCTTGGGTTCGTACTGCGTACTGTGAAGAGCAACGGCTGATGTGCAGCAGGGAGAAAGCAAAAGTAACACAAGGGTGCCTCTTCTGCACTACCGAAACCAAGCAAGATACTGCAACTAGCTGTTACCTGAGAAGACTAGCGACTAGGCACCCGCTCGAAGAAACAGGTTTTATAAAGAAAGGATTCCTCAAAAAACGGCTCAAATGAAAGCCATGGCCAGGCCGCTGCAAGCGCAAAGGTGGGGGGCCGGGGGGGCCTTGTGGAGTTTACAGAGCTTCGCGTTTCAAGGCCGTCGGTAGCTCTGACGCTAAGTAGCTGACTAAGTAGCTGTTTGGTCACATGCTCCATCCATCTTGCCTCGAGTTCAAGATTCCCCTCAAGAGTCTGTGTACGAAGCTGCTGCAGGTGCTGTCGAAGGCCATCAGCTTGGCGCATTCGTGCTCCTGCACCTGTTCCCTAACATAATTCGTGCATCGGTTGATAGTCGCACTTGTTGTGCTATGGCGCCTTGAGAGGGCGCAAGAGTTCTTTCGATACCAAGAGAAACTTAACCCGGCCGAGCTAGATACTAGATTACTAGATGACGATTAGCACCTTGAACCAAGCCAGAGCAAAGCAGCTGCATCGCTCTCTCGTGCCTGGCTCCATCTTCACGGTGCCAAGGCGGCTTCGCAGGATTCGCTTCATGGATGTGAGAGGGCGCATGCCTCCGTGTCTCAGCTCACTCTGTAGCTTGAAGGCAGCTTAAAGGTACTGAGCAACTCTGAAGGTTTCTGGATGCTGTGCTCCCGGAGATGACCCCAAGCTTCAGGCTTCCCCAACATACCAACACCGACGTAGCTACACACAGCGATAGCTTCTGCAGACGGGTCCAGCTTGCGGTTTGCTTGCGTCTCTGAAGGCAAGCTGCAGAAGCGCGAGTAGACGGCTGCACAGCATCGGCCACAAGGGCCTGCCTTCCTCTTCATTTTCACTCCGACGCCCTTGCCTGCGATCACACCCAGCAATTTGCAAGATGCACAAATTAACCTAGCAGCAGGTCATGACATGCGATCCGGTGCCTACCAAATTCTCGGAACTACCGGCGTTGTCCGGAGAATCGCGTCGGAGGTTCGCACGGATGTTCTGAATCTGCTCTTGCAGGGTCTCGTCATCGTCCTGCGAGGACATGTTGGCAAAGCGTGTGAAGCAAGTCGCGTAGGCTGAGGAAAGGCATTCACGAGGGTGCGCCCTATGACTCCGACAGAGGAATGATTCCTTGTAGACAATGCGATAGAGATGCCTTGCAAATGCTCAAATCGCACACATAGTACCAGTCGTGAGTGGCACACACGTCTGAGAAAGGATGGCTGCACGATTGTGCATCTTTGTACTGTCGAGTTAGCCATCGTACATACACAGGACTTCTTCAAGCCCTGATGCTGCTCTGAAGCAGGGTAGGCATCAAAAGGTGGTTACGGTTCCTCGTCCATGCTGACACTGGAAACCACAAAACCGAGCAACTGACAGAACTGACATCCACCGTGCACCGCACCGCACCTCACTTAACCTCCGGTCACCGACCGCGAGCGAAGCTCCGAAGATTGAATGCTTTCTGCGTCTGCTCGAAGATCGCTCCTCCTCAGCCGCTTCCTCCTCCTGCTTGTTGAGCTCTGCGTCCGGACCCCGTGCCCAGCCCTGCAGGATTCGCCGAGAAACCAAATGCGAGTCGTCCTTTCCCTCCTGAACGGATCTATTTCACAGCGATGCGCCATGTGATTCATGGTGCTTTGAGACGGCTACTTTTGTCACCTCAGGCTCCAAGCGTCCTTCGTCCTTCCCAAGGTCTTCTCCGCATGCAAACAGAGACCAAGCCGAAGTCTCCGAAGCGCCCGATGCTGTCGGAGCTTCAGGACAGTGCTCTCGAACATGTCATCCTGTCCCAGAGGTCAAGGGAACACCCTGTGGGCACAAATGGAAGGTCCAAGGCGGTACGCTCAACCTTGAAATTTGAGTTTACAAACGGTCGGCTTCCAAGCCGAGTATGCACAAGGAGACTTGGACATGCGACTGGAGTGCAGAAACTCGGCACTCCTGGTCTCCGCGGTCCAATACAGCTGTTAAAAGCACGCCGACAATGAGGTTGATGATGCCGAGGGAGGCGATTGCCATGAACAGGAAAAGGGCAGGCATGAAGAGCCATCCATCTGAAGCATCGATCCTCCACAGTACGATTCTTGCATGCCGCGCGCTTCGGTCATTGGCTGAGCGTCTTAAAAACAACTCATATCCCAAGTTCATCCAAGTTCATAGGAGACTAGGAGACAACTGAGACAACAAGCTCCAGCCCGCCTTCGGCGAATCAAGTCAATGCCACTGAAAGTTGCTATCTGCGCCAGCGACAGCATTGAGGTGACAACTCCGTCCCAATCGGCCGCGAGATCAGGCCTAGTGCCCAGGGATCCCTTCGTTAGCTCGAACACGAGGATACCAAAAATGTAGCAGATGCATACGAGCATTGCAGTTGCCCAGGAAAGAACACGCATTGCTGCCACCATGCTGCTCAGCAAGAGCCACAATTGCTGCATGATCTTCAATAACCGGAGCAAGCGCAGCAGCCGCATCAACCGAAGGACTCGCAACACGGCAAACGCGGAGGTTCCACCTTCAATTTCAATCAGGTAGGTCATCAGAAGGTCAAGCCATGCGAGTACCAGGCACGTGAGGTCAAACTTGGCCCAATTATCTTGCATATGTGAGCGCAGGCTTGCACAGCATCCCTTCACACGGTGAAGCCGCTCAAAGAGCCAATGAAGCAGAAACTCGATGGTGAACAAGCCCACACAGACGATCTCAAATATTTGTGCTTCCCTGCTCTCTTCGTCCACGACACCCTGCGTCGTCAGGCCCATCATCACACCGTTTGCCAGAATGACCATCCCAAAAACGAAATCCATGAGCAGTGTGTTCTGCATTCCCACCCTTGCGGCCAAAGCTATTTTCAACAAAAGCAGCGTATTCCAGCTATACCTCACTTGAAGTTCAACTTCAATTACCCAAGCGGCCTGACCACCTCCTCCTGCAGAAGCTGCTCAATTTCCTCTTCCGAGAGCAGGCAGCCAAAGCGAGTTTCTTCCTCACGACAGGAACGCGCAACATGGTCTGCACAGGGGCTCACCTCTTGATCACCGCTGCACGTTTTGGCAGTCGTGACAACCGTGCAGCCATGCGTGGCATGATTGGACCCCACAGCACGATTGCCACGCTGTGAGTCGCACGAAGGTGCCTTTTCTACTCAGTGCTCAGTAGACTAACCAAGCCCGTCATGAAAAAGCTGGTGCTGGGTTCGTGGAAGGTGCGCGGGGAGACAGACAGACAGACATGCAGACACAGAGAGAGCGAGAGAGCGAGAGACCTGCCTCTGCCAAGCCCTGTCTCCCTCAAGTTCAACAGTGAGGGTCCGTTGCTTTCCGAGTGGTGATCAAGGAGTTCACATCCAAACGCCGCTGCTGCTCTTTGAAGTAGCCGACGGCCTCTTCAGTCAGGGATCAGGTGAGGGCTGGAAACGAGATGGCGATTGCAATACACCGAGAATTCAGCCCGACCTCGACGAATGGATCCAGATCTATGTATCTTTCAGCAACAACGCTTCCAAGATACGCCTCCTCGACAACATTTGTCCAAAGCTGTGACTGTGCAATCGGGGTCTTACACTGACAAGTGTCAGTGGCACGACAACGTCCTCCTCCCGTAATTCCGTGGACCTCATCGAGCCGCCAGCGCTCGTCACGAAAGACCTTTCGGATCAACGCTTTGCAGAGCAGCTTCTCTGCATTTCTCCGCTTCTTCTACTGCCTGCAAAACCGCTGAACTAGGAAAGGCGGACATCGAAGCCCACGCAACATGTCGGCGGCTAGGCCGATGTGGACAGAAGCAGTATTGAAGCAAGGCGCTGGGTCGCAAACCATGTCGACTTCCTTACGTTCAATCTGATGCAGCCGAGCCGAACAGCACACGTGCAGCAGAACTCTTCCTTATCGCAGTCAGGCTACGCGTTGGAGACATTGCTTGTTGCTGTCGTGAGTTGCGGTCCCACTCCTGATGTTGATGTTCGTAGCTCCTGGCTGCGTGATCTGCTGCCGCTCCCGGTCGTCATCTTGGAGATGCGCATATGCTGAGGCTCTGGTGTGTCGGGTGGCAGCGCATAGCTGACGCCAGTGTTTGTAGACGGACGCAGCCCCGGCGTATGCGAATTCCGCGAATTCCTGCTGAAATTGCTGCTGCGCAGCACTCCTGCATGAGCTCTTTCACTAATCCTACAGGAGCCTAGCGTGACTGCAAGGAGACGCCAGACTTCTGTCGGAGCGGCTGCATGATTAAAGGATGCTTTGGACAGAACAGGCAGAACAGAAGGGATGTCTTTCATGAAGCATGGGCCTGACTTCGGAGGTTCCGGAGGTTCCGCCACGTCCGACGAGTCCATGACCCGATCATCGAAGAGATTCGAGCTGATTCAAGGCTAAAACTGCTCCAAAGATAAGCCGCAGGGAGACGATGTAGTCTAGTCTAGACGATATGCTCGTCGTATGCTCGTCAACAATCGACGACTAACAAATGAGACTTCACTGATGGCATCTTGCACAGCAAGTTCATGGTATCTACGTATTGAACCATCCTTGAGAAGTCAACGCCGCGGTAGATACACTCAGGCTTCAGCTGACCTGCTGCATCCCATGAAAGAGCAGCGCAAATCCATATGCTCCGCTCCCTGTAGCTGTGCTGAGCGGCTGAGCTGAAGCCGACAACCCCGACGAAAGAGCAGCCAAGAAACGAATTGTGAATTGTCTGCAGCTTCGGACACCAACTAAGGCACAGGTTGCCGGGGTATACATGGGCACGTCAGCAGTGATGATCAAAACGGATAGTTCCCAAACGTTCCACAGCGTTGCAGCGAGCCGGACTTTCATCTCTGCGTCCGATCCAGCCCCTGCTCGAATGCCTTCAGCTGCTGGAGAAACCCAGCCTGCAAGAGCGCACTGGCCGCCACTATCACTAGCAGCGCCACTGATGCGGTGAACCAGAGAAATTTCGAGCTCCAAGCATTTGGTCTGCAGCTACCGGATCTGCGCTCTTGTAGTAGCCGCATGGCGTCACTGAGAAGCAAGGCACAGCACGCTCGCATCTGGCAGAAGCATACAAAACAAAGCGGGCCTTAGAGAGAGCTGCTCAAACCTGGCACTGAACACCAGGGAGTCCCTTTCGAAAGGCTTCGTGCGATTCTTGCTCTTCCTGTCCGTCTTATGCCCGGCACCTCATCAGATATGCCAGGACAACTGATACTGACCTGCAACCAGAACCCTCATGGCAAAGTGGTGCTCGCCCCGTCACGGAATCACTGAATGGTGATGCTGACTCGTTTGTGCTATTTTGCTGCTGCAGGCAAAACAGACCACAGCGGATGATAGATACTCTTCACTGCATTGAAGCAAACAGACAGCAGGGAGTGAACTATCTGCCGCTGTCGGCTGGCCCACTGCATCCCAGTCCAACTGCATGCTGGGCAGTTCTAGGCACGTCGAAGCTTGTTGAGGTTCTTTTAGGTCGTTTCTCGCACGAAACAAGCGATCCATGTGGTAATCACGGCAGCTTCCGGTCACAGACTGTTGGATCTCACCCAACATACCCAACCCTCATCTGCTGCAAGCTGCAGGCCTGGAAACACCTTCGCGACAGTGCACCAGGACGCAACGGTTGCAACCTTGGAAGCAGGAAAGCCTTGTTTTCCCCGTCCACGAATTCGAAGCTAAAGGGTCATGGCATGACCTCGTGTGGAGCCTGCAGTAACTTTTACTTCTGAGGTGGTTCCACTATCCAGGACTTCCTCCTGCCAGCCTCATCCAGGTCACGCGGACGAAACTGGAAAGTGTGTAGTGTTGTTGTAAATGATGACAACCAGAGAACTCGGACAACCCAAGCATCCGACTTACCCGACACCAGGAAGCCACTGATCCAAGGAACAGACAAATCGAAAGTCAGTCTGCAAGCCAACAAGCTGACTGCAAATCCCTTTGTTCCAACTCGTCCTGGCCCTCCATGCGAACATTTCGACGTCTGAGCCACTCTGTGTCCGGGCACCGTGGATGAATGCCAACCTCAAGCTGGCAGGACAGGCCGACAGTAATGAAAACTTCCGGAATGCCAAAATGGTTAAGGCATCAGCGCTGCATCTAGAACTTGGAGGAGATTGCTGGATCGATCGTCCTGTGGAAATGACTCGACAGATGCCAACAAGTACCCGGAGAGTAGACTCCACTCCTCGATTGCAACTTGATGGTACGTGAACTTGCCTTCAAAAGCGTTCGGGGCCTTGCAAGGCATTGGGCTCGAGCTTTAAAGACACACAAGTTCCTGTCAGCCGCATGGCCGGAAACATGTTGACAACATCGGCTCGCTATCCCTGTGTTTGCCTTGGTGACATTGACGATGTGACTTACTCCAAGTTGCCTGCACGGATGCACTTCCAAGACAGAGTACGAACACGTGGGAGGCCCCAGTGGAAAAAGAAAGCCTCAGCAACGGCAAGCTCTGGGCGAAAAAGGCACCACCTGACAGGATGGAAAGGAAAGGCACCCTTCTGAAACGGGGCCTGGCACCTTGGAGCAAGCCCACAACACAAAGACGGTCAGCAAGCCGTCGGAATTAGCTAGCTGGCATCGAAGGTGTCAGGCAGACCAGACTACGGGGCAGGAAGGGCCAGGGCAGGTTCTATGAAAAATTGGAAGCATCGCACAGATAACTTGACTGACTATGACTCGGACTGCTGAAGACAGAGCTTCCTTCGTGCAGTAAAGCTTCTGATGTACAGTGCGAAGCCTTGGTCCGTAAGCACCTTCACCACCAACGCCAGCAGCGGGGTTGCTACAGGTTTTGCAAAAGCGACGACACCTCGCGCCTCGTCAGCAGCAGGTCTCTGCGTCGAAACTGCAAGCGGGGGGCGGCTCGGGCGGCTCGCCTGCACATCCATCGGCTCCTGCTCGGTCTGGGGCTGACTTTGCCAGCTTGACCTCAAGAAGAGAGGGAGAGCTTACATCTTCCGACATATCGACATGAGGCCACCCCGAGCTTTGTGATCGCATGCACGGCAGAGCTGTTGTTCCAGTCAGCGGCGTGGGGTTGGCGGATTCGTAGGTTTTGGCAGCAACAGGCCTGGGCCTCCAGCCAGCCACCATCCTCGGTGACGAAGAACCTTTTCTTGGCAGCATGTCACATGTTTAGAAGTGAGTCTGGTGCATCTTCTGAGAGGCTGGCAAGTTCAAGAACTGCATGATGCGTCTGGGCACCATGCAGTCGGGATGATAACACTGAACCTCTCAGGCCGCGCGTGCGTGTAAGAGACTGCGAGACTCTGTTTCAGCTCGGTGGCTGGCCATGACCAAGCACCTCTCACGTCTCGATTCAAACTACTGCGACCACGGCAGCAAGCTGAAGCACATCGGCCGCCTGCGCAAGTCTGCCTTCTCCAGCCTGCGCAAAGGGAAGGAGAGAGAGACAGAGGAGGACTTTGAGGCGTCCTGAGCTTTGCGAGATGGAAGGAGCCAGTCCCGCCAGGCCCTTGGTTTGGCGACGGCATTTGCAAAGACACGCGTGGAATGCCCTGCACTTGGGTTGCCGACCGAAGAAAGCCGCTAACGCTGCAGCTGCAACCGCAGGGCATCTGTTGTCTCCCCGGCTGCAGTGTATCAGTACCTCGCAAGACAAAGAGGCGACACGATACAGCCGATCAAACGAGGTCGGCCTTCTCCCCTCGCTGCAGGCCCCTGCAGACAAGGAATCGATACTATGTAGTTGTGCCTGATGATTGCGTTCTTCACCTCGTCCTAGGTGTTGCTTTCTTGGCTCTGCCATGCTCTGCCACTGGTAGGTACTGTAGGTACTCTTGTTGACTCTTTCACCGGAGGCAGCGCTAGGACAGGGGTTGCATGCGCCTCGCGATGAAGCTGAGCGCCCGGGGCAGCAGCACTTCCTGCCACCAGCGCTTGGTCGGATCGTGCCTTGGCAACACAACATTTTAAAGTGACCAGAGTGATTAAAGAGCTATCCGGGATGCCCAGCTCTTCGTAAGCACCCCGAGCCTGTAGGCACCTTCGCTTTAGCCTTACAACAACTCACCCAGCTTGAAGCCTCAATGACCGGGCTCATGCTGCAACCTGGGTTCACTTTCGTCAGTTCAGATTGTACCAACTCACTAACCATGTGATATGACTTAGAAGTTTGCGAGGTGCATTCATCTATGGCGAGGCACGTAGTTGTGAAGGCCACATTTGATGCAAGGGCCGTGCCACGTGCCCGAAGCCCGGATGCAACAGTCCAGCTAAGCTCTTGAATCCGAAACTTGAGGGTATCATGATCACGATCGTGGGTGTGTTCGCCCAAGCCCAAGCGCCGAAGAAGTGAATTTTCCGACACATGCCTCCGCCGGCCCGTTTACTGTCCGTTTCACATGTTGAAAAATTGAAACTACTGTGCCGTCGAGATGCCCTTGGTCTCAGATGGTATGTGTTGAAGCATGTTCGTGCCAGGTTTGGGCCAATTATCCTCGTGAGGGCCCGCAAGCGATGCAGAATGTTCTCGCGACTTCTCATGATCCTCAGAAGTGGGCTTCTTCTCATCAGCTGCAGGCAAGTGCAGGTACCGAGGATCACCTTGTGTTTGGCAGCTATTGAAACATCGTTGCCCAACAAGTTCCCGGAACCGGCGTTGCAAGATGAGCTACCAACCCAACTAGAGATGCTCAGCAGGCGTTAGGCGTTTGTTCACCGCGACATGGCCCTGGCCTTTCATCTCCGGATGTTCTTCGCCTAAAGGGATCGGATCTACAAGGACGTGAAGAGGGACACAGTCAAGAGACCTCCGCAATTCAGCACCGCGTCGACAGAGTCCTTGAAAGCCGCAGAATTGCGAGCGAAGTCCACCGGCTGCGGCTCTCGGGTCTCTCCTCTCTTCTGCTGACTCTGACGGCGTAAGCCTAAGCTGCCCACCCAGACTCCGGGTGGAGCTGCGGATGCAAAGTTGCCCACGGCGAGCCCTGTGCCACCGATGAAGGATAGGGAGGCCTGGACTGGGCAATTTGACGGCTTCGATCAGGGGCGACCCTCGGTCTCAGTCTTGCACCACTTGGACCTCCACAGGAACTTTGCCTGTGTCCTTGATTGAACATTACACTCACTACCTTCTCGCTCCCCAGGCAGAAGTTTGACTGTCACATACCAGTAGCACCAACAACTGAAGGCTCAGACTGCTCCTGCATCGGCAGGTCCTGGATTTGATCCAATGCCGGTAGAGCCTTGACGGCAGCATCCACCTGAATTGGGGGGGGGGGGGACTTCCGAGCCCAGGAGACTACATCCATGGTCTCCAACCGGATGCTCTCTGCTTTGCTGGCACCTGTGTATTTCTGCTGAACCCAGCACCCTCACGTAATAGCTCCGGGACATGATATAGCTGCGTCACAGAGCGATCCTCCCCCCGCGACCTCCTGAGGCGTGCTTCGCGCCAGCTCCAGAAGCTCCTCCGCCTCGGAAGCAGAGCACCCGATGCCGCCCGGCCCAGGCCCTGGCGCCTGCAGTATGGGGGCTACGCGTGGCGCCAGAAGCGCGCCGGGCTGAGGCCCAGCTGCCGAGCCCAGGCCTGAACTCCAAAACCCCTCAGTAGGCCGCTTTCGCTTCGCGACGAAGCGCCTCCTCGTCATCGCCCGCTCCCTCAGAGGAAGAAGAGCTCTGATTCTCGGAAAAGTGCGCTCGCAAAGGCCGTGGCCTGGATGTAAGTGGTGCTCCCTGCCACCTGCAAACACCGCTCGGCATTGCCAGTCTCCGTGACCCTTTGCTTGCACCTTCGACGCCGACACGCACAAAACTACGGCATGCTCCTCTTTCAGAGCATCGAGTTCCTGCATGAGCCAGCAACGTCCGAGTTTGGCAATCACCGGAAGTCTGGGCTGCCCACATCTTTCAGCTTGTTCAAGTCCTGAACGTGGGCACGTGCGAATGAAAGAAACTTCTTGTTCGAAGTTCTGCTCTCTCAGTCTCCAACGTCTGTTGGGCAAACCCAGAATGGTCGAAGCTTTCGGCCCTTCCTGTGATCGACAACGACACTGTACAGTCATTGCCCAAGGACCCAGGGGCTGGGGCTTTCACAGAGCAGCTGCCAGCTCCATAGCTTCTGCTTCTGGAAGATTCTTGCGAAGCCTTGCACTGGCCATTCTCCTCTTGGCAGCTGCGCTGCTGAAAGTCAAGGATCCCACTTCTCGATCCACTCTGGCAGGAGCTTCGAGATGTCAGGCCGTTCTGCTTCCGCCTGCAGAGAAGCGAGCAGAATGAGCAGATGCACGTGCTTGAAGAGCTGTTGTCCGGGAACGCGGCAGTGCGTAAGTGAAGAAAGGCATCTGGGTCTGGGAATGTTTCGGCACCCATGCCTGGCACCTCGTAGTATAGAGTCTCTGATCAATTGCTTCTGCAGCAGCAGCGCGGCCTTCAATGTGGCCACCATGCTTTGCAGCACTGCGGTCCAGATGGGTACTGTTTTGCTCCTCGGACGGGCAGTTGGGAATCTGACATCCCAAGCCAACATATGCCGAGGTACGCGCAAGGAGTCCGGGAAGGTCTTCCTGCAAAGGGAGCTTTACAGCAGCTCGAGCAGCACCATGAGAGAAAAGTCGTTCGGTCCTTCGATTTCCGGTGCAGTCGACCAGGACGACTCCGCCAGAGTCTGGCTCAGAGCCACAGCCGGCAAAAGGAGTCTTCGTCAGATCGTCTGCTCTTCGAGCTGAGCTCTGTTGAATGATTAACGTACGCTTTACATGTGCTGCAAGCAGCTGTGCACATCACCTAGCCGCTAGCCACACAAGCTGGACGACGCCTGCTGCCATGTGCGCAACGCGAAGGTTCAAGCGGCCGATGCTGAAGTCCCACTGATTCCTCTTCGAGTTTCGGACGGTGCCGGTCTCAGCTCTGCTCCCACGAGAACGAATGTCCGTGCAAACACTCCCTGATTGGGACAGAAACCGCACATGAAAATGAAACCTTGCCCCTTGCGCATTACCTTAAGAAGTTTGTTCTTCTGTCAATGTGCGTTTGGGGTGGTCCACATAAGAAACGTGTGGTGAGGAATTCAAGGGCGAGCTGTTCCAATGGCATCAGCATCTTGAAGAGATGGTTTCTTGTCTTGCAACTCTGGGCCGGGTCGTCCTGTGACCATCCATTGATTTGAAGTAGCAGGTGGCATCCACGGAATCTGTTGGTGCATACCACGCCTAAGGTCAGTGCTGTCTCGATACAACATAACACAAACAGCCGGTAGACCTTCTGCAAGTAAGGCTCGATCACCGGCGCGCAAGTTTGCCAGCAGCGGCCACTCCCGAACGTTTAGGCTTTCTCGCCTTTGGAGCCGTGAACCGCTTGTCTCCAGCAGGATGACGACTCTTGTGTTTCGACCAATCTTTGTACCCAACTTTCAGCAGCTTGCATCTCCTTGCTGAGGCTGCAGCGCGTGTGAAACAAAGCAAGCATCCTCGCTGATGCTAAGCAGGTAGTTGGCCTTTGCTCAGTCTTCTGTCCGGCTTCGCCAATGATTTACTCTTGGTGAGTCGTGGAGGCCTTCTGAGTCCTCCGGCTGTGGTCTTTCTCGCAAAGTTCCTGGCTTCGCGATTGCTAAACACCTGGCAACAGTCTGCTGCCGTCACGTCAGAATGTGCAGCAACGTGCCTTCGTCTCCGTCTGGCAAGCCTCGACGTATCCTCGGCATGTTACTTGTTCTTGATCAGAATTGACATGTTCGCCAAGAATGCAAGCTGATTCAGCGAAAGATGGCTACACAAGTACTGGGAAGTGCACCTGAACCTCCAGTCTTCGATATGCAACTCGCAGCAGCGACGGCTTTTGCTGTTGCCACATCGTCGGCCATTGACTGATCATGCCTGGCACTGGCGTGCTGGATGCGTGCGGCATCATGCAGCATTCGCAGTGGTATCACGACCGACGCTCCATAACCCACCACGACCTTTTCACACGAGAATTTCGGCCGAGGTCTTGTGGAATCCGCATTGGTAGCACATGCAAGACAAGTTCTTTGAAACAGCCAGCTGTTTTAGCTGTAGAACAGTGCTTGGCTTCACTGCCGCAATGTCTGTCTTCTCAAAGGGATCCGCGCAGAGGTCGAAGAGGTGCATCTCGTCTGAGAGGCTCGGCCTGTAGTGAGGCACAGGCACAACGGCACAGAACTGCACCTGCCGGACATGGCTACCAATAGCTCGATAGCTCTTCCAAGAGGCTGCAATGATACGGCATCGCAATGAGGAACTACACCTTTCCAGCAACCTTGACGAATCGTGTAGCCAGGCTCCTGCTTCACACGAGTGCCGCTGCCAGTGCCCTCGCCGCCCTCGCCAATCCACGTGAAGTACAGATAGTCATGCTCCTCTGAGGACAGCACGACCGCTCTCTGCTCTTATTCGAGAGTTATTCGTTATGCAGTGGTCCTTCTGAAACGAACCCTTCAGCTCTGGCACGATGCTAATGCCGTCCAGGCTGTGGGGAACGCTCGCCCCGGCAATCTCTGCGATTGTGGGCAACACGTCCCAAAAGGCCCATGCAAAATCTGATACACGACCAGCAGGGATGCCTGCAGCTGCAACAGCGTGTTGTTCATGTCTGTCTCATCTGAACCGAAATTTCACCGAAGCGCTGTCTGGCCAGCGTACCATGGTTGGGGAGCGCACGCCGCCTTCGAACATGCTCCTGCAGGTCGGCCCACTCCGCAATTGAAAACCCCTCCTCCAGCACACTTTGCAAAGAGACGGAGGTTCGGAAGTGGCGCCTTTTGTAGCCTCGCAAACCACCCGTGGAATCAAAGAACCGATGGTCATGACCTCCTTCCGAGTGTGCTCCGTTGTCAGATGCAAAGAAGACCTTGAAGGACGAGACAATGTGACCACATACCACGCGTGCGAGTGTCTGAAGCGCGTGGGTGGGGCCGTGAGTGGGTGGCTGGTTGGGTGAGTGTGCTGCCAGTCACCCAGTAGCAGCTGCATGAGAATGCGTGACACGAGCCGAGTCACCAAGGTGTTCTTGTCGATGTTTAAGGCTTTCAGCCGTGCCAGAAGGTCGCCTACCTGTCCATACACTGTCACGAACTTTTGCATTCGCACATCCGAGGCCTGGGGTGCTGTTGACTTGCCTTGTTGTCGAGGTATGTAATGACGGCAGCATGATCCTGCGAGAAGACGGGGTGCTCAAACCGGCTGCCTTCGAGAAATCTTACTGTCCTTCTCAACATCTGGCCATTGCTCATCTGCGTACCTTGGAAACCACGAGGACGAACCAATTGAAAGAGACGAGGTCGGGAGAAGTGCTACATGTCCCCATAGCACACAGCAAACATGCAGATCCTGCAATACGCCAGTGCTGTGACAGAGAGGACTTTCCCAAAAGCGAGCTCGAGCAACAGCGAGCATACCAGAGCGCGGCTTCCAGGCTTCTGCCCAGCAAGGAAGCCATGAGGACCCAAGCCAAGAGGGGCACTGCCACCAGACCAGGGCCAGCCGCATCCATCTTTTATCAACAGAGAGAGAAGCAGGAATTCAGCCAAACAGAGCCACGCACCCAGCATGCATGCACCACACATCCCGCAAGCACGCCGCTCTGGCCTGTGCTTGTGCCAGTGCGGCTTCGTGCAGGTCAGCGACCGCTTGCACACTTGCATCAATGTGTGACAGGTTTTCAACTGTGAGTCAAGGCACTGCAGATCACAAGGCACGGGATTTCCCGACTCCAAACTCTTAGGTGCGTCCGACCAACCCCCTGCGTGAGGTATTGTGTAGCTCCTGAGCTGCGACGGTTGAGCGAAAGATATGGAAAAAGGGGAAGAGGCCTCACGAATCTCAGCCCAGGGTCAGGAAGAGGAAGAAAGGCCTTCTCGAAGCCTCCGAGGCTGCAGCTTCGAGCCAGGCCATGCCGTGATCATGAAAGATGTCGATGGTGTAGTTGTAGGCCTCCTTGTGCAGAGTTCTCTCGTTTCCCCTGCATACACTTGGAGTACTGAGTACCGTCGTGCCCCTCCCTGCCCCCCCAATATGTTCGGCCAGGTTGCAGGACTTCCCATGCAAAGATCACGAGACTTTGCTCCGAGGTTCCCTGACAGCCTGGAGCTCACCGGCCCAAGCCAACGTTGATAGAAGATTTATGTAACATGGTACCTTCCTACCTTCCTTCTGGAATCCTTAAGCACAGCTTCTTGCACGGCATTGCAACTGGAGCACTTAAAGTTTAGCTGCTCCATTCCCGAATCGATCTTCACAGGGTACATATTGTGGCAAAGCGCCTCGGATTGATGGGACTTTGCTCGCACTCAAAGCTCAACAGGGCAAGAGGATTTTCCAAGCGGCTTGGTCGACTTGTCCGAGGAAAGTGTCGAAGCCCTGCTGCAGCGGTGAAGTCAAAGGCGCCACCTTTCCGAAAGCCCCGGTCTGGTAGCCCGCCTGGCAGCTGGAACCCTCAAAACGACAAGGACGATCGCTTTACTGTGTAGTCCGAGGCTGTGGGACGCTTTTGGTCACGGGCCCAGCCTGGCTTAAGACCTGAGGAAGTGTTGTCTGTGTTTGGTTGGGACGCAGCGCCTCCCCGTTTAGACCCCACTTGAGGAAGTTGCCGCTGTGTCTTCCAGTAAAGAATGCTGTGCGGCTCGGTGCGCACACGGTGTATCCGGCATATGCCTGTCGAAATATAATTCCTTCCCGACCGAATTGATCCAAATGTGGCGTCGCGATCCGGCCATGAGACGAATTCGACGGGTACAGCCCCACTTCGCCCCATCCCAGGTCATCCGCCATGATCCACACCACATTCGGTCGCTCCGAGTTGCAGACTCCGAGAAGTAGCGCAAAGCGCACGAAGAAGGCCACGAAGACAAAACGAAGCATGGCACTGGAGACGTGAATCTCTCTGAGCTTGAAATAGCTGCGCCGCTCTGATGCTTGTGATGGCGACTCAACATCAGATCAGTTCTCGCTGTGACTGTGTTATGGCGAAAACCACCCCCGAAACCGAAGCGGCATCCAAGAGTTTGTCTTGGCAGTTGCATCCTGACTTAAGCTGACGCCTGCGTGACGAGAATCACATGATGCGGCGCGGCGTGACCGGCTGCTGTTACTTCGAACCCTTCGGCCCGAACAGCCATTACAGCCATAGTTCAGACTCCGACTGAGCGTGCAAGTGCTGAAGTTTTACTTGGAAGGTACGGGCCCGGGCCCTTCTGAGGGCAGGAAAGGGGCCTGGAGCCGAAAGGATGAGGCCGGTCCCAACACCAGAGATCCGATGATTCGTCCTGTTGGCTATGACTCCTGGCGAGGAAGTCCTGGTTTTGCCGATATGATGTAAGCAATTGGGACACACAAAACTTCACTAAACTGCCTTAGGCGTTCTGTGAGTGTCCTCCCTTCTCTGGAGAAGGACGTGAGCCACAAGTCGAAGTTGTGGCTAAATTAGGGGGCCCGTCTTTGTCCACACAACTGCTCCACCAATGTTTAACGGACAGCAGCCAGTCCCCCTTCGTGCAAAGGCAGCTGTCTCGAGCAGCGGCCTGAGACTTATAAAAAGCACAGAGGCAGCTCTGAGGCTGAGGATTCTGAGGATCACTTCGCAGCTTGTTGGCAGCTTGGCCAGGTTCGGGGGGAGCAGCCTCCAAAGCACCTGGAAGTGCAGCTGAAGATGAGAATGTGTGAGAAACTGTTTTACAGCGTTGAAAATCGTCAAAACCATTGCAAGCACTTCGTGCGCAATGTGATCACCTCAACATCTTGTCAGAGGTTTGGCGTGGCCGTGACCAACACAAGACTCCTTCCCGACCCTGCATAAGGAGGTTCAGGCGAACTTGTGGAGGCATCGCGCAAAACTCAGCAGCAGTTGATGTAGTTGAGCGAATTTCGCCTTAAATCTGCAAGCCGTGATCCCACCGATGTCACAGTCTCAAACATCTAAAGAACAACATGCCGTGCAGACGGTACAGTATGCACCCACGGCCAAACACGCGCTCTCTCGTATGCAAACGTCTATACGTGCGAATGTCTAAGAATTCGACACACCTCTCTTGTATGGACTTCTATAAGCAGCCGGCATTTCCCGCGCCACGAACTCGCAGCAAGTGGCCTTCGATGCCTCTGCACAGTCATGCAGTCCATAGCAAGGGTCGACAAGAAAACCATTGCTTTTTCCAAAACTCACGTGAAGGTGGGGAAGAACCTCACCATCCTCAAAGTTCTCGAAGACGTCGTGGAAGAGTCTGGCGTTCATCTGCCTTCCATCATCGGAGATCGCTCGGCTGGGAAAATCCGGAGGATGTGCTCGCAAAACACTACGGCCTTCCACCACAGTAGATATTCATCAGATGGACCGCACCCGACCTTGCTCACTACATCGAGAATTTGCACAGTGCATAGCAGTGGCAGCTGGGCCCATCAAGCCATTTTGCTTGGAGTTCTGCCAATTCGCTTTGAGAGGAGGGTTGACACTCCTTCATTTCGAGCAGCGAGACGGCTGCAAAAGTTGACTGGGCGGCTCTGCCTGGCGGCGCGCTCGATGAAGGCCCAGTCCGCCTTCCCAACGCGGCCTTGACATGTGCCAACATGCCCTAAACCCCTAAACCCAATCCAACGCAGTCAACGGAAAAAGAAGCGAGCTTCCAACCATCCAGCATGAGTGCCAACAGCAGCATGGAGCAGGCAAAGAGCGCATCCCGATGGTCTAATCCTGAAGAGCAGCGAAGCTGTTGAACGCTTAACGGATTGGGACCTTGTTCAATGTTTTCGCCTGCTAAGCCATCGAAGAAGAGGTCTTCGTCGTCCAAGCCTCAAACGGGCGGGACGCGCGGGCCGCAGCGTGAGCCCTCGCTTTCGTGCTTTCCGCGCCCGGCCCAGATCTGCCAACTCCTCGTAGAGCGACTCCTGGGGCCTCAGAGCACGGTCTCTTCGTTCACCACGCTCTACTTTTCTTTACTCCTCTCCTTTGCGCTGCTCTACGTGGTAAGCTCTCCTTCCTTCCCTCTCAGTGCGAGCGAGAGACTTTTCTGGCTGTGCCTTGGCGCCTTGGCCACTGTCACACTGGACACAGTTTGCGGCATGCTACGAGTAACTGCTAACACAGACCACTCTGAAACACTGAACGTTGCTTCAAAGTGACGGAACCAGCGACTGCAGCAGCCACCGCCTGAGCCGAAACGGAATGCCGCTCGTTGCCAGCAAGAGGACAGGCGAATGAGCGCCTTCGCTTGCAGTTGATCCCGCACTGGCCTAAACAGGCGCACACATGTGCACGAGAGTGAGTAAAGAAGGTTTTGTGCAATGTTGTCAGGCAACGCGTGCCTTGCTCGGCAAAGTCAAGAAGGACTTGGTGGCTTTTCGCTTCAACTTCGCCTGTCACGTCAGAAAAACACACAGCTCATCTCGGTTGCAGAAAAAGGCAGGTCCACCACTTCCAGTCTTCGGCCATACTCCTTTTTCGCCTGAAGCTATTTCTCGGCAGGGTGGTGCTTCCATTTCAACACATTGAATGCACGTTGACTTGGCCGCAGACTCGACTCACGAAGCCATCATCTATGAAAAGGTTGACGGTGTGGTTCAGCCTTCTAGACATGTGACGCAGCAAACGGCAGAGGTCTTCGTGGCATATTGCATTAATAAAGGGGGGAAGCCTAAGCTTTAAGCCAGGCTGCAAACACCGGCTGTTGGGATGCATCTGCATCTTATAGGTGATGGAGACTCCTCCGCCGTCGCTCTGCTTGGTGCTTCACAGAAAGCAAAGCATCCGCATCGGACGGCATCGGGCACTGGCCTACAGCTCGCAGAGCCAAGCACTTCAGCTCATCAGACCTCAGCTGCAGCTTTGGGGGCAGGCTCTCACAGTGTCACAGTGGGCCGCCCAGCGTGTGTCTTCTACTAGGGTTCCGGCAAAGGCTCTTCCACAGCACCTGGGGATATTTGGTGGACAGGATTTTGTGCTACGCACTTTGGCCGGCACACTTTTCAGATGTCGAATGCTCAGTTTCAATACTCTCACGATGCGCTTTTATGAGCTGGCTCATCACCTGACCGTGTCGGAACTCAAGGCTGGACCGGTCGGGTGCTGAACAGTGCCAGACACTGGGCCTCTACGGTGGCAGAGGGGCCCAGAGTACAGACCATGACCTCGTTCATGGCGTACCTTGCAGGTGTCTTCACCAGGCTATCTAGACATTAGCCAAGGTTCCTCGCCTATGGTTTCCTGAAGATCCTGAAGAGTTGAGCTTGGTTTTTCTCGTCCGCTCAGATGCCGAACTGTTTATCGAAGCTTTCCTCGACTTAACCTCCCAGCTGTTTATACGTCAATCGACATCGGGGTACTGAAGGCCACAACTGGAGCATGTGGCTCGAAGGTGAAGTGGTGCACGGCCGCCTCTAGCCCTCGACTTAGCACGTCTTTCAGTGGTACTTGTATTGGTTTGGCACCCTGCCCCACCTCACAGTCACAGAATTGAACATCACCTCGGTAAGCAGGCTAGTAGCTTTCCTGTCTATCGATTTATCGACGGACATGTTGGCCATGGTCCAACGCTGAGGGTATGGCATTGATGAGAATCTCGATTACCAAAGGAGCCATCCTCAGCCGGCCCCAGTCTCTCACATATTAGTTCTCCGAGACCGGCGCAGAATCGGATACTCGCTTCTCGCACAACTGCTGCGGCACATGTAGCTTCTCGTAATTTCGGACACATCCAAAGTCCGAGTAGCTCTGCGAACTTCAGCAATGTCCGAGGTGCGACCTGCAGGAAGGTGGTCCGCATGCAAGAGCGCTTTGCGAAGCATCTATGCAGACGTGAAGGCTGCATGCTCGATCGATCACCTTCTTGACAATCAACTTGATGACAAATTTGGTGACACCACGGCTGCCCATATAGATCCTGCTTCAAAACACGACAGTTTAACGGGCTCATGCAACAAGGCATTCAACAAGAATCAAACTTTCAGGCAGCAGCAAGGCATAGAGGAGGAGGAGGAATTTGCTTGCCTGAGCGACTCAAGTCGCCGTTCAAGCAGCGGTCTCTCCCTGCTCTGAGGCCGGATCTCGCTTGTGAGGGTCAATCCCGAAGGTTCGAACTTTCGGATGCCCCAGCTCCAAGGCCTGAACACTTGAACAGTGAGAAGTCATGAAATGCAAGCTCGCCGTTTTGCTGTAAGACCCCGGGCTGCACGTGCAAGTGATCCTGCAAGCATCGCACGCTCCTTGTCCATGGGCACAAGCCTTCTGCAAGCCGCTTTCGAGGAGCAGAACGCGCTCTTGAGAGAGGGCCCCCACGTGATGCCACATATTCTGGTCATCCTGACGGCTGCAACGAGAGCGGCCTGAGCTTCGCAACAAAGGGAAAGCAGATAAGTGAGATGTGTGAAGACACACGAAGAGTGGGAATAAAGTGCCACCGCCCATGCAGTTTTGGAAAGCGGAGGGCAGAGTATGACTGTGCGACTGCCAACTTCCAGAGATGCATAGATGCCAGACTTACATCTCGCACCGATGAAAGACGATAGGGTCAACAAATACTTCGGATGTTCGCCGTCGCTGCGCAGTTTTCTCCTTCCTCCACCCCACCCCTTCAGCGAGGTAACAGAACTCGCTAACAACATCTAACAACGACCGCAGGAGACTCAACTGCAGACAGCTCTCGGACAAGTCCAGCGCTAAACCTGGTGATTGCGGAAGCGCGTGGCTACCAAGCCTCAGGTTCTCAATCCCAAAGCGGCATGCTTCAATTCTAGACCCAGCAGTCAAAACACCTCAAACCACACAAACAACGCCGTTGGAAGTTTCGAGACTTAGTATGTGATGAGCTGGTGAGGTGGAAATTGCGCCTTATGGCCTCTGCAACAGCAAGTATACTTGCACTCAAACATTGAAGCATTTTTCCCAATTTACATTGGCTTTTGGAATCTGCAATCCTCAATTTAGTTTCAAGACGTCAGAGAATCATACCTCTGCTGCAAAAACCCGAAAGTCAGTGTAGTTCACCAGGGCTTTCACGCTTTGAATCCGACTTGGACCTTTGCGTGAAGAGTCGCTCAGGTACATACAAGCAATTCAGTGTCGCATCACACTTGTCCAGCATTTTGTCAGCTTTTCGGGCCATCCAAAGCGTGCATTGCAGGACCCAGGAACCTACCTGCAACTGATTTTAAAGCGGCGGCACGAGGCCAGTCGGCCTTGCAGAGTCATTCAGTCCCCGAACTGCACCCACGAGGAAGCGGGGAAATCGTAAAACGTGGAGCGGACGACAGACGACATACCGTATACAGGCCCAACCCAAATAATCAACTAAGGCAAAGCGCAAACAACCCGACGATTCTTGTGTCGCAAGCACCCGCAAGTGAGCCGCAGCTGCGACGAAACAAACTGCCAAGGAATTACGACCCGGCACCTTGCGAACCAGCATCCTGAGCATCAGAGGTCACGGGGTCTTCAGCCTGACCCCGATGGCTGCATTTCTTGGCAGTGATCAGTTCCCTGTACTGTACATCCTAAGGCTGTTTGCCACATGCCTTGCTCCATTTTTGAAGATCGAGCTTGCAGGCAAGACAACTGCCGAAGTCAGAGCCCGAGAACACGACGATGCAGCAAACGACCATCTCGGCCAATGACCATATCTGAGCACATCTCGCCAGTTCATTCAAGCGGATGCCTGACTTCACTCTGAGCGAGCGACCAGGGAAAAGCTGCCGGCAATGCTGTTGAAGGCTGACGGAGAGTTCTTCACTTTGCATGAGGCACCTTTGGTAAGGCAGACCGGCCTAGCCAGTCTTCCTCCTCATCGACCATTGTTGCAGTCAGATCGTTCAGCGCCTGCGCAGGCATTGCATACGCTTGGAACTATAGGCTTGCCAATCTGCCTGCGCGAAGAATGCTGCGCCAACGCCAGCAATCACGCCGGCGAGGACTGCACCCTGAGTGCTTTGACACCAAACTCTTGCTCAGAGAATGCATCCCTTGACTCTACATTAAGCTCGCCGCATGCGAACAACGCCAAAGTGCTCTCCTCTTCTCCTCCGTGAGAACATGAGCTTTGCTGTCCTGGCAATTCACGATGTCCAACGGGGCATAAGGACCCTGAACCCTAATCGCCAGTCAGGTCAAGCCAAAGTGAAGCCGATCGTCGCTTCCCACTCCAAGAGCCGCTCAGCTGCACACTGCATAAGGTTGTGCGCGCCTCCACCTCCATCTCACGCATGGTGGTGACGGCATCCTGGGTGCAAGCTGGAGTCAGGTGTGTTACTTGTAGCAAACTCAGGCTGTGCACGTACACGGTGCCTTGATGGACATGGTTTTCATCGTCGCCTTGCGTTGCGGCGTTGCGAAACTTCCCCGAGGCAAATCAGAGAAGAGGCGCAGTGACCGCGCCTTCGGCGGCTTCGACTGAAACACGAGACCTTGCAGCCTGGGATTCGAGGCGACGGGAAGCGACTTGCACAAAGGTTTGTAAGCCTGCCACAGCCCCAAGTGCAAAGCCCCGCACATCGAAGATACGGCAGCTCCGACCACGCTGCCTCTTCGTGCAAAACTTTGCCTGTGCAACAAGGATTCGTTGCCAGATCTTCGAGGACTCTTGCGTTCTTTGGCACCCCACACAGGGGCAGAGAAAGATGGTCTTCGAGGCTTTTCAGCCGGCGCCTCGTGCAGGTTGCAGATATTTGCAGAGGGCAGCTAGGGAAGCGCTCAGAGCATTGGCCTCTTCGAGTCTCTGTCTCTGGAGCTGGATGAGCTCAGGGACTTCGTCGACGAAAGCTCCTACACCTGCACGTTCGGGCCTTACGGCCTCCGAGAAATCTGTTAACACAACACTAAGCCCGCCACGCTCTACGTGGTCTTTTGCAGGTGGCTTTGGTCGGTCTTTCTGCACCCTGAAGCATCCACTCAGGCATTTTCTTTGAAAAATACTGAAAGCTGTGCCTTTGCCTCTGAGGCTTCTCTTTCATAGCATACAATTGAGGCGACGGTGTGGAGAGAAGGGCCGGCGGCAGTGCCACTGGAGGCTGCTTTGGAGGCCGCACTATCGCCAGGCGCACTTGTTCCTGAGCTTTCATCTTTCCCCAAGTCTCAGCGCATGCCACCCTCGCACGTCCACAGCTTTTCGCTCTGCTATGTTCAAACGAAATGATCTGAGAGTTCGTCTGTTCCATACCTGCAGAACTGCAGAGGCAAGACGGAAACAAAGCCAATGGTTTCTGGTCAGCAGAAAGATGGTATACAAGCCGCACCAAAATGTCGTCTTCGAGACAAACGCAGAGTTCAGTGTCACAACTGACAACCACACCAAGCACTGCCGAGGATCGGGATGTTTCGGCTGCGTCCTGGTTACGATGACTGGACGACTCTTTCTGGCCAGAGTTGCGAGCTGCGCCTGTGCGTCGCACAGGCAAAAGACAAGCTCAAAGGCTCGAAGACATCGCGAGAGAGCGAGAGAGACTAAAACGGAGCGAGATAGAAGCAATAAGCCTGCATATACGCAGATATAGATACAGATATAAATATAGGCAGATTGAGAGATACAACGATAAAAAGATGCAAAGATGCAGATATCGATGCGGATGCAGATATAAGTAATTCATATTTGTATGTGCATATGTATATGTCTACGTCTGTGTCTATGTCTACGTACACGTATATGTAGTATAGCTTCCAAAAGCTCTTGCCCATGGGCGGTCTCTCCCGTAGGAGGTGAAGGTCCACATAGTGAGTTCTCAGGACGTCTGAGAATATCAGCATGCGCAAAGGACCTCTTCGTTGGGCCGGCGACCAATGCACATGTCCAGGCCCCCCCTGCGGTCTGTTGAAATCGGCAGTATGCAAGAACGTTTAACGTAGAATCAAGGCACACACACACACACTTGCAACAGGCCTTGCAGACCAACCGTCTCCGGCGTTGTGGCTCTTGTTCGTTGTGTCCAGTATTGTTCTGTCTTTCGTTTCTTGATGCCCTTTCTGTTTCTAATTCATGGGTCTCAAGTGCAATTACTTTCAAACTCCGCTCCAGCCCCCTGATAGCATGTTGTGACTTGGCCCATTTGTACAGGGATACCCACACGCACGAAAGAACCAAACAGGGTCTATGGGCAGTAAGGTCAGCATACATATGCAATGAAATAAAGACTTATAGTGAGGGAGAGAGAGAGGCAGGAAAAGAAGCCGAGCCTTGTCGGGGTTCTTTGGCTGCTTCCTTGTAATCACTACGACATCTCGTGCCTGCAGGCCATGGCGGCGTTCGACAACATAGCACGGCTTCATCAGATTCTTGCAGCACTTATGAAAACTCACCACTCGCCGTGCGGCACCTTGCGCGACTTCACGGCGTATGGTGCGTCTGGCCACGGAAGGGCTGTCACGGCAGCTTGCTCCGTGGGCGCGTGGGATGATTCACTGGTGGTTGCCGTCAGCTCTGAATCGGAGCTGCTGGGACTGAGGTCGTCCGCATCAATCTTTTCCGATGTTTCAGATCCGAACCATGGCAACTTCATGCCAGGCAAAGGGTCGGAATCCTGGGAATCCTGTAGCCTGGGGCCACTGCTCAGGTCCTCCTCTTCCTCCTCCATTGGAGCTATACGGTTGGGTGAAGACCGACCATACATCAAAGAAAGCAACCAATACAGCGTCTTTTCCATGGCAGGGAGGTTTTTGACTGCTTCAGCTTCCTCTTCTGCGCTGACGAGCCTGGGCGGATCATGTGGGGAGCGAGTGTGCATCACAGAATTTGTATCACGGGATCAATCTCCACTACCAGATGCAACCTGCAGAGGGACTTCCGTAAAAAAAAATACATCGTTTCGTCGCTCTGCCGTCAGGATACCTGTCCTGCGCTAGGCTTGAAGGTAATGCTACCAAGGCTTCCAGCGTAATCTGCGGAAAGCGTACAGAAAACTGCGCATCGCTGACGCCGCGGACGAACTCTTGCCAGGTGATCTCTCCGGAATCGTCCGCATCCAAGAAAGAGAAGACGTCAGCAGCAAACTTCTTCTCCATTTGCAAGGAATCCATCATTCCCACGATCTGAGGGGCTCTGACTGGGACTACTTACTACTTATGCTGCCCAAAACGACAGTGTTGCAAGTGCGTCTGAGCAATTTATTAGCATGACCGCGTCCAAAGCATGCGTGCCTCTCCAAAGCTCAGCTTGGAATTGCCGTCGACATCGATCTTGCGGAATGCCCTCTTGAACAGCGAAACCTGACGTCTTCAACAGGGTGATTGATTCAGTCAAGGACAACCAGCAAAACCTTGCCAGTTCGTTTATCTGCTCTGCTTTGCAAGTATGCTTGCACATGACACTTCAATGCATGTGAACCTGAATAACAAACCCTGCAGACAGAGCACTCGCCCGATCATTGTCTCAAGGTTGCCCTCTGTGACACTCGTCAGTTGCAATATCGCATCAGTCACAGACTCGTAAGTGGTGTTTTCTCGCCCATCGAAGACAGCCCGGAGGACCTTCTTGGCATCCTCATCCGACAGGCCTCACAACGCCACAAGCACACGATGTCTCAAGTGGCCTCAAGTCTCTTCTGAAGAGCTCCGGACCCATGGCCGCCAGGAGTGTCTCCACTTCAGCCTGCCCGACATCGCCAGACTGGGCCTGGTCGATGAGGTCCAAAGCCTCGCCAAAGAGTGAGAAGTGGAGGGAGAAGCGCGAGTGAAGTCTTAGCACTACAGAAATAGCAGCGCCTCTGTTACGAGGATACTTTTGCGGCGCTTGACGCCCGGTGTGTCATGGCTCGGAGAGACCATCCAAAGCTGGTGGTAAAGGCCACAGGCCCTGCTTCAGAGAATACTGCCACCTGACATCATTCTTTTCAGACCAAAACCTATCATACCTGCCATGTTCTTGAGGAATGGCTGCGATGTTTGCAGACCTACTGCTCATGCTAGACCTGATGCATTCATTCTGTGCAGTCTAAAGCCTATACAGCTGCAATCACCGAAGCAGAGGCAGCGGCTGCTCGTGCACCGAGAACTACGTTCCTGGGCAACCCTCCCTCTAGGCCACACCAAAATGCCTTGTTTCCCGGCACGTCACGTCTTGCCTAAGGCTTCGCGCAACTCTGCGTCTGAAGTCAGATGCGTGCGTGAGGAGAAGATTGAGGAAGTATTAGCAATTCCATGCGACTCATCCTTTGGAGATACGATCTTTTGTGCCCTACACTCTCTTCACATCTCTTCCCTATCTCTGCGACTGTTTTTTGCTGGCCACGAGCCGCTTGGACTTGACGAATTACTCTGTGCGCAGTAGTGCGTCAGAAATGTCTAAGCTAGATCAAAGTTATCGTGTGAGCGTCAGCAAATGAGTGTGCCAGATTTTCTGGACATCCTCGGGTCCAGCACAATCAGAAAACTTGCAGTCTCGTTTTCCCCGCTTGGCAACAATCCGAATCCAAGGCACATTGCTTCTCGTAGCCCAACACGGTGCTCCCAAGCCACCGCTCTGTCCCCTGCAGACACTTGATTTAAGCGAAACTAACAGCACGGCCACGGATCCAGGCACACGTAGACCTCAAGCCTAAAATGACAGGGTGTTTGCATCACGCGATTACGGCTTCAGAGCTCGGGAGTGCAGCACAGGGTATGAAAGCACGGAAAACAAGCTGTGGAAAGACACATCGTTTGTCGTCTATTCAGATGAGAGCATTCGAAGGGATGTGTCTCTAGCATCGCCGTTTCTCAAAAGTTGGCGAATGGCCCACACCCTATTGTTGCGCATACCCAATCTGCAGCAGCATAAATGAGTAATACAACAAAGGTAAGAAAATCCTCGCACCTCCACGCCGGCCTCGCCGCGGCGCTCCGAATAGGACCTCGGAACAGACCGAATGTGCCCGTGCCCGCTGTCTGGTTCTTTGTGCAGGGGGTTGGCGGTTAGCTGCTGAGGTCCAGGCTGCACCTGGTCAACGTTGACCTGGCCAACCGAGAAGTACTTGGCCTGGCGAAGCTCGTTGTGGCTGAGAGTTGCGGCTTGTGCGCTTTGCAATACTGGCCTCCGGGTGCGCGAAGACCAGAGCCGACACAGATGCGCTTGGCCTGTAAACGAGATGCAGCCAGAACTGGGACCTACCTGTGGGATTGCCATATCTTGCGCCGTGCTATCTAAGGGCCGGACATCATCATGTAGGACTCGGTCAGGGACAGCTTCTCATCCGTCAGCCTGCGACGCATTCCATGTCTCCATCATGTTCTCAGCATCGAGCCATGCACCCCTAAGGCTCAAGGGGGCATCAATCGCAGCCGCACCTGTCCACCTCCAGAAGGTCCCACCTCCGTCATGCGACTCGGGGCACTGTGGTCGAGGGTCCCCGTAACATGAGGAAAGGTTTGCAGCCCAGCGGCATCGTCTTCTTCTCTCTGTGGTCGGGCTGAGAAGGATAACCCGGAGCAGGGCGAATGCCCTGGTACTTCACCTTGAGCATGTCCTCCAAGGACAGCTTCTCATCAGGCCTTGCCGTGGTAGCACTCAGGTCAAGCGAAATCGACTTGCACGGTCGGGAGCCCGGCGAAAAGCCCCACAGCGTGGTTCCTTGTAGCGCGGAAGGCTCCGACGGGGTTGGATGAGATTCGGCACCACGGTTCGTTGTGCTGTCGAATGTGCTGCCTTTTATTGAAAGGTCCTGCAGGCTGGTTCAAAAACCGTTTCAAACCCAGTTTTCTCCGAGAGTCGGATCTTCAGGTGGATCAGCTCGGCGAAGGCCTCTGCCAGCCGGTCTGCCACGGCCTGACAAGAATCCGAAGAAGTGCACCCAGCACAGTTCGAACATTCAAGCGTTTTGCCGGCCTCCAGGAGGATCGCCTGATCAATCTCACCCTTCGCCTCGAACTTCTGGCGCTGCTCGTGGCATCCGATGCCGCCCGTGCAGGCAAAGGCGGAGATGTAGTCGGAGTAGCCCTGTAACTGCTCTTCAGCAGGCTAACAGAATCTCTCGGCTGGCTAGTGTGCCTTCGGGGCAATGAAATCACCTTGGCACCAGTATGTGGACTCGCCCATGTCCAACTGCTGGCGCAGCCCATAGAACTTGCACTTCACGGTGTCACGGTCATCGCTCGTGTAGACCTTGCCAGACTCGGACTCTCGTCTTCAGCTCAGTACAAGCCTGCTCTCGGGCTGGCCTCATTCAGGCAACCCCTGCTTAATACCAGTGCCCGAGCGGCCTCGATGTCATCACCGACCGCGTTGGCCGGATGGATTCCCACGACGCCTTGCAGACGTACAGCCGGCTGTGTAGGGTGTATCGTGTGTTCTTTCTGTCTTTTCTGACATGTATCTTGATTTTGTTTGTTTTGTTTTGGCTGGTGAGGTAGAGGAGAGAGGGCAAAAGAAGAGGAAGGCGCACAGAAAACCGATCAACAAGCAAAGAAAGCAACAAAGGCACCGAATGCAACTTACACTATCCAAATGCCTATAATCCTTACCAAGCATTAACACCAGTGCAATCCTCTCACTATCCATCCAAACACAAATAACCATGCCAAGTATTGCAGATAATCCCTTAGCTACTACACCAAGCAATCCAAACAGAAATCATCATACGAAGTCTTGCCTACAATCCCCTTACTCCCAACCATCCAAACACTAAACATCATACGAAGTACCGCCGTTTCCGTGTACTATCCTTACGCAAAGCAATCCAAGCACAAATATTCATTCTAAGCGTTGCCCAGAACCCGTTTACTACTACACCAAACCGTCCAAACACTAATTTTCAGACTAAGCACTGCCGATAAATAAATCCTTTACCCCTACGCAACGTTGCCAGCACGAACAACCATACTTATACTCCTCTTGCTACTACTCCACATCATCGGTATTGATGACCATGACATTCAAGATTCTCAAGTATTCGATGGCTGTTGGCCAAACCCCTTCAATCTCAAAATGTAGCACATGTGAACGATTTAATCACTTTCAGACGTTATGTCGTTTGTCTTTTAATGATAGCTCGTCTCACCAGTATGTGAAATCAGGCATCATGTTGAACAATACATCCTCTTATGCAACACCAACACCGTCAATCAGGCCGAGTTGTAAGGACGTGCGAACCCAGGTGGCAGCATTAAGCAAAATTTCATGTCATGTGGGTGCCAAGCGAATATGTGACATCGTGTATGCGTTCTTTCCACCAGCGAACTGTTCGAACAAATGAGATCTTTGCACCATCTAGTGTAGCTACCTAGTGTTCGCATACTCTAACAACTCCTCCATCCCTCCATCCCTATACTCCAAACTCTAATCTGCATGCCCGTAGCTCTTGACTCCAACTGGAGGGGAGAAGTAGCTTCAGTGTCCGATGCTGGCTAGACGCCTTACGTTTGTTGTTCTCACTACGCGATTGCCTCGAAATCGACACCGCAGCACCAAAAATGCAAAGATGCGAACATAAAACAAAACAAAACAGAATAGCACCCATGCTTGACCACGCCTGAGCACTTCAGCAAGCCCTCTTTGACAATCCAGGCCTTCAGCACAGCAGTGCATGCAGATTGCGGGCATCTGCAATGGTCACAGTAAGAGCGACGAAGCAGAGGCTCGTGCCAGCATGTCCTTCGCCTCCTGGAAGAGCTTCTTCGCTTCAGGGCCCACGCGCTCATCCTCCGCCCGAGCCGATACGGATAGCTTACGGCTTACGCGCGGCTGCACGGCTACACAGCGATCATGTCGGAGTACTGTGCTGCCTTGAAGATGTGAGGGTAGTCGCGGTTGGGGTACTTGCCGCGAAGTTGGTACACCTCCCCAGCACACTACTGGATAGGCCGGCTCTGCCAAGCGAACATGTCTTCAGGTCGGCTTACGTCGGGCCGGGAGACCTGGAAGAAAGGAGTCCAGTCGATGTATTCCATGATTTCATCGATGGGGTGGTCCTCACTTGCAGCTTGCTTCACTAAACCGCTAAGCCTCCATCACGAAGGGCTTTCTATGCAGCCGCAGACCTTGATGCACAAGTTGCCAACGAACTTCCTGGCTCGTGACCCGGCTTCGGTCGCTCAGACTTTATTTGTGATACGATGTGAAAGCAAGAGTGCCAGTATGACGGCTTCGGCGGCAGCTTGCCCCAGTCCAGCTGTGGCTTCTTGGACTGCGCCTGAAACCGTGGGCAACATGCTTGCTCTCTTCCGAGTGTCATGTCTTGTTATCGGGCCTCCTTCAGCGACTTCCACTTCTTGTCGATCAAGGTCGCATAGTATTCCTCCCTGATTTCCGCATATTCCTGGAGCTGCCACGATTCGCAACCCACGATCTCTCCCAGCAATGCCCCCGCTGCAACTGCGCTCCTCCTTGATCTCGTCCAGATACGTTTGCTTGTCCTCGGACCTGGTCAGCTAGACCAGTAAGTTGGCGAACACAACAGTAAGGCAGACTGACTCGAGTCTGTGCACCTAGCCTTGTGCGACAGGCTGTACTATCTGTCGGTGGGCTTTGGATGTCGTTGGTGTTGCACAGCCGTTTGCTGTTTTGTGTGCAGCTCGCTGCATCAGTTGAAGCTCGCAGCCGACAGGGCTCACGTCTGCGATCCACGGTTTGAGGATCCAGCCAGCAAAGAAAAAAGCCTCTGACTTTCCTATGCATTTCCCCCTGCCGTTGATGACACTGACATACCCGGACATACCTGTGGTACAGCTCAGGCTGCTTGCACTCTGAAATGGCTGCGAGAATGAGAAGCCAGCAGCAGTGCGCTCACGACGGTGCAGCTTCTGCTCGCATCCAGGACCTGTGCGAAACGCATGCCACGCTACTGGTGGAGGGCTGCCACATCCGAGGTACCGACGTGAATCACGCCATTGTCGTACTTGGTGGTGACCTTCACCGCCTTGTTGCCGTTGATCGCGCTGGTTTCAAACTTTGTCTTCCACTCTTGGGGCGCCCCACCGTGTGCCGCTTCGATGTGGTGGCGCCACCGATCATCAACGGCACCTGGCATCCGGGGAAAAGCAGCACATTGCCCCAGCAAGACACACGCAGTGGGTCGCCTTCATGCCACGAGCCTTCATCTGCTCCTCAGATTCGCATGAGGACAGTAACGCGGTGTGTAGTCGCAAATGCGGGCAGCTGAGCAGTTGAGGCACGGACGGCGACATAAACCATCTCGTCCAAGGAGGGTGTGATGAGCCTCAGCGCACAGCCTGATTTCTCGAATCACCAGAAGTCAAGACCGAGAGGCAGGCCCGGAAAGTCCAATGACATCCACTTTCTCCTGCGATTTTGCTGCGCACACATCCGTGCTACGAGATCTACTGGGCGATCGCATCTCCGCTGGCTCATGTGCGTCCTCGACGGCCTTCTCCAGGATGTTTTCGCAGGGCACCATGACACCCATGTCGATCACCTAGGTCTGCCAACCAAGAGCCAGGCCTCATCTGGCCTCACCAACCTCAGCACAGGCCTTGAAGTTGTTGCAGCCCAGGACAACTCCCACGATGTTCTTGCCAATGTCGTGCACATCTCCTTTCACCGTTGCCTGATCGAGCTGCTAGCCCACATGGGCCGCTTTGTCAAACAGGAAGATGCAAAGACAGGGCTGGCCATCAGCACAATGCCGTTGTACTTGGGCTGATCAGGGTCCTCGCCGGCAGCGAGGGCCTCCAGAAACGGAAACCCTTTGTGCCAAGCTCGGAACCTGTCGTCTCAAGCCGATCTCAGGCGCGAACGGCAGCACGCTTTTCTTCCTCCATGAAGGGGGTCAGATACGCCACAGCCTGTCAGCATCTGTCGTCTCATCGACCAGTGACGGCCAGGATGCATTGCAGACTCGATTTCAATCTCTGGCCACTTGGCCTTCTTCATGACCCGTGCGCTCTTGATGACCTGCAAGATGCAGATTGCAGATATTCGCGATGTTCAGAGTGAAGCAAAGCCACAGGCCTGCGGCAAGAACATCTTTCCGGATCCGAAAAGGTCTCCGATGATGCCCATGCCTGTCCAAAGGCCAAACGCTACTAACACTACTCCCCTACTCTGCAGATCTCTGCCGCATCAGGGCGAGCCTTCCATCAGCGGCCCCTCGATGACACGCAGCGGGACTTGGAGTTCTGCCCGGGCCTGCCGCAGTTGCGGCACAATGGAAGCCGCCATGTGCCCCGCAGGTATAAAAGCGGACCTCCTCGGTATCCCCCTCAATGAACTTGTCGATACCGTTGATCAGCCTCTCCGGCACAATGCCACACGATGTCATGCTTTTGGGGGTCAAAAACATAGCATCGCCAAGGCCACTGCCCGTAGTGCAGACGCTCTGTGAACGTGCCATTTCGCCAGGCATCCTTTGCTTCTGGACTACAAGGCGGCTTGAGACTTGCGAATCTTGCGAAGCCTGCCTTGGCGGGAGCACCACCCGCAGCAGCGCCCGCAGTTGGGGCAGGCTTGCGGACAGCCTCTGCAAATTGCATTCCGTGCGTCTTGAGACATCTTGGGACCCCCTGAGACTCACAGCTCTGAGTTGGCCTCTGCGTACTCCAGGAAGCGCTCGACCTGCAGGCACAAGGCCCAACGCCGCAAGACAGCACAGTCTGCGCCTCAAATACTGCAGCCGGACAGGTGTCTGGGCTTCCTGCGTGCTTGCCATCTGCAGACTGGTTCAGGATCACCTGCGAGAAACAAATGATCGAGCGAGCTCAAATCAGCCGTGGTGAAGCCAAAAGAAAGCACAAGGAGCCGCGCGCCTCTTCCGCGAGCTTGCGAGTGTTCTCGTCGATGTCCGTGTATCGGGGAAGGCCTGGCGACTCGGTTTGCAGTGAGAGGCCCCTCCAGGCTCCGCGCCGCACTTTGCCACGGCCTCCCGGGTTCACGATGGACATGTTCAGGCCCTTGGGCACTGCGTGGTAGAGGAACACACTGTGCATGGCATCCCGGAGGGAGTTCAGGCCGCGGAAGGAGAAAGACAGGTTGCTCAAGCCACCAGAGAAGGAGACGCATGGGCAGGTGCGCTTGATCTCCGCCACGGCATTGATGAAGTCGACGGCGTAGGAGTTGTGTTCCGGCAGCCCAGTAGCAATCGTTAGCACGTTGCAATCGAAGATGATATCCTCGGGGGGGAAGTCGATGTTCTCACGCAGGCACCTGTAGCTGCGCTGGCAGATACGAACCTTGTCCTCGAAGGTGGCTGCCTGACCCTTCTCATCGAAGGCCATGATGACCACGGCTGCACCATAGCGCATGCAAAGCTTCGCTTGGCGAAGAAACTCTTCCTCGCCGACCTTCAGTGAGATCGAATTCACGATGCACTTGCCCTGAACGCATTTGAGGCCCTCCTCGACCACAGGCCACTTGGAGGAGTCAATCATGAAGGGTAGCTTGGCCACGGCTGGCTCGGTGACGCAGAGCCTCATGAACTTGCTCATGGCCGACTGCCCGTCGATGAGGTCCGAGTCGAAGTTGAAATCGAGAATGTCCGCTTTCTTCTCGCACTGGGCAATGCAAACCTCCATAGCCTCATCCCACTTGTAGGCATCCACCAGCTTCTTGAACTTGGCCGAGCCCATCAAGTTGCATCGCTCGCCGACCCACTGGAAGCCTGCCTCAGCGGTCACGTGGCAGGGCTCCAGGCCAGACAACATCATGCTGGGGTACTTGGGCAGCTCTGGAAGCTTGCGCACTGGGCAGTCCTTCACCTTCTTGCAGACAGCCGCGATGTGAGAAGGGAAGGTGCCGCAGCAGCCGCCAACGAAGTTCAGGATGCCATCCTTGGCATAGTCCAGGATGTTGCTGGAGAAGATCTCGGGGTCTTCGTCATAGCCACCCATGGCATTGGGCAGACCAGCATTGGGGTAGACGTGGCACCAGGCTGAGTTCATGTCACACAGCTTCTTGTAGAAGCCCTTCATCTGAGCCGCACCCAGTGCACAGTTAATGCCAACGGTGAAGGGCTGCGCATGCTTCACACTAACGTAGAAGGCCTCGATGGTTTGACCAGACAGCGTGCGGCCACTGTTGTCCACGATGGTGGCGCTAAGCATCACTGGCAGCCGCTCCTTTTTCGACTCGATGAAGTACTGGTCCACTGCAAAGATGGCTGCCTTGCAGTTCTGGGTGTCGAAGACAGTCTCAATCATCAGCAAGTCGACGCCACCGTCCACGAGACCGCTCACTTGCTGCTTGTAGGACTCCACAAGCTCGTCCCAAGTCACATTGCGGAAGGATGGATCCTCCACACTGGGCGACACGCTCAGGGTGCGGCTGGTGGGCCCAACTGCACCTGCCACGAATCGGGGCTTGTGCGGCTCCTCCTTCGTCACCTCAGCTGCTGCCTTCTTCGCCAGCTGTGCTCCCACTTTGTTCATCTCATGCACAACGGCCTGCATCTTGTACTCGCCCTGCGAGATGGTCGTGCCGTTGAAGGTGTTGGTCTCGCAGATGTCTGAGCCAGCCAGGAAGTACTCCTTGTGGATGTCCTTGATCATGTCTGGTTTGCTGAAGATGAGGAGGTCGTTGTTGCCCTTCAGGGAGACCGGGATGCCGTTGGCATCCTTCTCGCTGAAGTCCTTGAACCGATCCCCACGGTAATCTGCTTCCTCCAAGTTTTCTGCCTGGATGCGGGTTCCCATGCCACCATCCAGGAAGCAGATGCGCTTCTTCAACTCACCATTGAAGTAGTTGATCACCTCCGTGGGTGTTGGGGTCTTGCACTCGATGATCTTCTGGGCCACCTTCTGGGTCTCTTGCGGGCCCTCGACACGGCAGGGGTCCACGGCTTCGCAGCCGGCTTTCGGCTGAACATGCTCAGCTTCACACGAGACAGTCTCCTTAAGCGATCTGAGGAAAGTGCTCTGCTGCTCTGCCGTAGATTTCTCGATTTTCAACACAGGCCCAGCAGGAGCAGGAGCCGGAGGCTTCCTCACCTGCTCCGCATACTCCAGGAAGCGCTCGACATGATTGCCGTCCGCCGACTTGTTCAGAATCACTTCTTCGGCCAGGGCGCGGGTCTTGGGCTCAATGTCTTCGTACCTGGGAAGACCACCTGGGTTCACGATGGACATGTTCAGGCCCTTGGGCACTGCGTGGTAGAGGAACACACTGTGCATGACATCTCGGAGGGAGTTCAGGCCGCGGAAGGAGAAAGACAGGTTGCTCAAGCCACCAGAGAAGGAGATGCATGGGCAGGTGCGCTTGATCTCCGCCACGGCATTGATGAAGTCGATGCCGTAGGAGTTGTGTTCCGGCAGCCCAGTCGCAATCGTCAGCACGTTGCAATCGAAGATGATATCCTCGGGGGGGAAGTCGATGTTCTCACGCAGGCACCTGTAGCTGCGCTGGCAGATACGAACCTTGTCCTCGAAGGTGGCTGCCTGACCCTTCTCATCGAAGGCCATGATGACCACGGCTGCACCATAGCGCATGCAAAGCTTCGCTTGGCGAAGAAACTCTTCCTCGCCGACCTTCAGTGAGATCGAATTCACGATGCACTTGCCCTGAACGCATTTGAGGCCCTCCTCGACCACAGGCCACTTGGAGGAGTCAATCATGAAGGGTAGCTTGGCCACGGTGGGCTCGGTAACGCAGAGCCTCATGAACTTGCTCATGGCCGACTGCCCATCGATAAGGTCCGAGTCAAAGTTAAAATCGAGAATGTCCGCTTTCTTCTCGCACTGGGCGACGCAAACCTCCATAGCCTCATCCCACTTGTAGGCATCCACCAGCTTCTTGAACTTGGCCGAGCCCATCAAGTTGCATCGCTCGCCGACCCACTGGAAGCCTGCCTCAGCGGTCACGTGGCAGGGCTCCAGGCCAGACAACATCATGCTGGGATACTTGGGCAGCTCTGGAAGCTTGCGCACTGGGCAGTCCTTCACCTTCTTGCAGACAGCCGCGATGTGAGAAGGGAAGGTGCCGCAGCAGCCGCCAACGAAGTTCAGGATGCCATCCTTGGCATAGTCCAGGATGTTGCTGGAGAAGATCTCGGGGTCTTCGTCATAGCCGCCCATGGCATTGGGCAGGCCAGCATTGGGGTAGACGTGGCACCAGGCTGAGTTCATGTCGCACAGCTTCTTGTAGAAGCCCTTCATCTGAGCCGCACCCAGTGCACAGTTAATGCCAACGGTGAAGGGCTGCGCATGCTTCACACTAACGTAGAAGGCCTCGATGGTTTGACCAGACAGCGTGCGGCCACTGTTGTCCACGATGGTGGCGCTAAGCATCACTGGCAGCCGCTCCTTTTTCGACTCGATGAAGTACTGGTCCACTGCAAAGATGGCTGCCTTGCAGTTCTGGGTGTCGAAGACAGTCTCAATCATCAGCAAGTCGACGCCACCGTCCACGAGACCGCTCACTTGCTGCTTGTAGGACTCCACAAGCTCGTCCCAAGTCACATTGCGGAAGGATGGATCCTCCACACTGGGCGACACGCTCAGGGTGCGGCTGGTGGGACCAACTGCACCTGCCACGAATCGGGGCTTGTGCGGCTCCTCCTTCGTCACCTCAGCTGCTGCCTTCTTTGCCAGCTGTGCTCCCACTTTGTTCATCTCATGCACAACGGCCTGCATCTTGTACTCGCCCTGCGAGATGGTCGTGCCGTTGAAGGTGTTGGTCTCGCAGATGTCTGAGCCAGCCAGGAAGTACTCCTTGTGGATGTCCTTGATCATGTCTGGTTTGCTGAAGATGAGGAGGTCGTTGTTGCCCTTCAGGGAGACCGGGATGCCGTTGGCATCCTTCTCGCTGAAGTCCTTGAACCGATCCCCACGGTAATCTGCTTCCTCCAAGTTTTCTGCCTGGATGCGGGTTCCCATGCCACCATCCAGGAAGCAGATGCGCTTCTTCAACTCACCATTGAAGTAGTTGATCACCTCCGTGGGTGTTGGGGTCTTGCACTCGATGATCTTCTGGGCCACCTTCTGGGTCTCTTGCGGGCCCTCGACACGGCAGGGGTCCACGACTTCGCAGCCGGCTTTCGGCTGCACGTGTTCTGCTGTGCACTCGACTTCGCACTTCTGAGACCTGTGTGGGGAAGCAACAAGCATGTCTTGTGTTGGACACTCTTAAGCGTGCTGTGACGACGCACGGGCACAGCCTCAGCGACTCAATTTGTTGCTCGGGGGTGCTGGGCTTGAAAAGCTTCATTGTGGAAAACCTTGCGAGAGCAGCAGCAGACGGTTGCGGTTGTCCTGTGCCCAACCGATACCCTGAGCCCGCCTTGGTTGTCTAATTGACACGCTCCTGTCTTCGCTCCTCAACAACGACTCGCAAAATCGCGTTTTGCAACTTGCATAGCAAGGACAGTTCCAAAGGGCCTCTTGCGAGGTACCGGACACCGCTCGCGAGAGTAAATGAAAGAAGGAACCAAGTGCAGGCCTCGCCGGTCGATACTGTTCCAAGCACCCTGCTCAAAGGCGGCTGTACGGGCCCGTGTCCAACTCAGGATGCCACACTCGAAAATCCAAAGAGAGTGCCTGATCTCGCGTTTTACCGCAGAAGCATGCACACTTGATGTGCACGATTTCCGAGATGTGGACCGAATACTGCACAGGAGCGCACGACGAAGAGCCAAACGTGTTGCGCGAGTCGCTGCAGTCATGCGCTGGTGCCCAGCCCAGCCAGCACACACACACACAATGTGTCGTTTCCGAGCTGGTGCAAGCGGATGCACTGTTTTTAGCCGCGTGTATGAGATTCTCTCAGGAGCGCACAAACAATGCGTCTTGTGCCTGAGAGCGCTAGACGATGACAGGCCGAAGAAACAAAGCTCTGCTTCAAGATGCTTTAAGTGGCACTTCAAGGGTAATGTATTTGCATCGGCCCTGCGTCTTTCGCTGTGTGAGACAGCCTAACACTACACTCTGCTGCAACTTCGTGCAAAATTCCCAGGATTGGACCGCTTGCGACCAAATGCCACAAGAGTACTAGGCCATGATCAGCCGTGTCATCCTCGGACATTCACACAAGGACGTCTTGTCTGCGGCAGCTAGCATGAACCGCAGGAGCAGTGAACGACCATTGAAATCAGCTGACACCGACCCCCCAAACACCTTTTCGTTCAAGCTGCATTGCTTCTCATAGCCCAGCACGGTGCTCCCCAGCCAGCGCTCCGTCCCCTGAAGATGCTATGCTATGCTATGTTGCTATGACAAGTGCCCTAAACTAAGCATCGTAGCATGCAAAGGGCTCCGATTCCTGAGAATATCTCTACCGCAGGCCACCCTGACGTTTCTTTGGCATACCATGGATTTGCAGATTGCGGCCATGGCCTGAATTCACTTTTCAAGCTGCGGAGTCTTAACTTGTTTCAACAACAGACACAAACGTGACCTGGTAGGTCCCGGTAGGTCATGACGTGCCGGCCTCGACGCCCTGCTCGCCACGGCGCTCCGAGTAAGACCTTGGAGGGAGGAAACGGAGGCTGCCACTGCTGCGGCATCTTCAAACGAGCCGCCCCCCCCCCCACCCCGCCCTCCCGCGCTTTATGTTTCTGTTTTGTGCCCGTCAGCTACGCTAAGCAGAGGTCCAGGCTGCACCTGGTCAACGTTGACCTGGCCAACCGAGAAGTACTTGGCCTGGCGAAGCTCGTTGTGGCTGAGAGTTGCGGCTTGTGCGCTTTGCAATACTGGCCTCCGGATGCGCGAAGACCAGAGCCGACACAGATGCGCTTGGCCTGTAAACGAGATGCAACTAGAACTGGGACCTACCTGTGGGATTGCCATGTCTTGCTCCATGCTGTGTAATAAGGGCCAGACATCATCATGTAGGACTCGGTCAGGGACAGCTTCTCATCCGTCAGCCTGCGACGCATTCCATATCTCGATCGTGTTCCCCGCGCCTAGCCATGCACCCCTAAGGCTTAATCTCAGCCCCTACTTAAGCCCGCACTGGCCGCACCTGTCCACCTCCAGAAGGTCCCACCTCCGTCATGCGACTCGGGGCACTGTGGTCGAGGGTCCACGTAACATGAGAAAAGGTTTGCAGCCCAGCGGCAGCGTCTTCTTCTCTCTGTGGTCGGGCTGAGAAGGATAACCCGGAGCAGGGCGAATGCCCTGGTACTTCACCTTGAGCATGTCCTCCAAGGACAGCTTCTCATCAGGCCTTGCCGTGGTAGCACTCAGGTCAAGCGAAATCGACTTGCACGGTCGGGAGCCCGGCGAAAAGCCCCACAGCGTGGTTCCTTGTAGCGCGGAAGGCTCCGACGGGGTTGGATGAGATTCGGCACCACGGTTCGTTGTGCTGTCGAATGTGCTGCCTTTTATTGAAAGGTCCTGCAGGCTGGTTCAAAAACCGTTTCAAACCCAGTTTTCTCCGAGAGTCGGATCTTCAGGTGGATCAGCTCGGCGAAGGCCTCTGCCAGCCGGTCTGCCACGGCCTGACAAGAATCCGAAGAAGTGCACCCAGCACAGTTCGAACGTTCAAGCGTTTTGCCGGCCTCCAGGAGGATCGCCTGATCAATCTCACCCTTCGCCTCGAACTTCTGGCGCTGCTCGTGGCATCCGATGCCGCCGGTGCAGGCAAAGGCGGAGATGTAGTCGGAGTAGCCCTGTAACTGCTCTTCAGCAGGCTAACAGAATATCTCGGCTGGCTAGTGTGCCTTCGGGGCAATGAAGTCACCTTGGCACCAGTATGTGGACTCGCCCATGTCCAACTGCTGGCGCAGCCCATAGAACTTGCACTTCACGGTGTCACGGTCATCGCTCGTGTAGACCTTGCCAGACTCGGACTCTCGTCTTCAGCTCAGTACAAGCCTGCTCTCAGGCTGGCCTCATTCAGGCAACCCATGCTTGATACGAGTGCCCGAGCGGCCTCGATGTCATCACCGACCGCGTTGGCCGGATGGATTCCCACGACGCCTTGCAGACGTACAGCCGGCTGTGTAGGGTGTATCGTGTCTTCTTTCTGTCTTTTCTGACATGTATCTTGATTTTGTTTGTTTTGTTCTGGCTGGTGAGGTAGAGGAGAGAGGGCAAAACAAGAGGAAGGCGGACAGAAAACCGATCAACAAGCAAGAAAGCAACAAAGGCACCGAATGCAACTTACACTATCCAATTGCCTATAATCCTTACCAAGCATTAGCACCAGTGCAATCCTTTCACTATCCATCCAAACACAAATAACCATGCCAAGTATTGCAGATAATCCCTTAGCTACTACACCAAGCAATCCAAACAGAAACCATCATACGAAGTCTTGCCTACAATCCCCTTACTCCCAACCATCCAAACACTAAACATCATACGAAGTACCGCCGTTTCCGTGTACTATTCTTACGCAAAGCAATCCAAGCACAAATATTCATTCTAAGTGTTGCCCAGAACCCGTTTACTACTACACCAAACCGTCCAAACACTAATTTTCAGACTAAGCACTGCCGATAAATAAATCCTTTACCCCTAGGCAACGGCCAGCACGAACAACCATACTTATACTCCTCTTGCTACTACGCCACATCATCGGTATTGATTACCATGACATTCAAGATTCTCAAGTATTCGATGGCTGTTGGCCAAACCCCTTCAATCTCAAAATGTAGTTGACCACATGTGAACGATCTAATCACATTCAGACATTATGTCGTTTGTCTTTGAATGATAGCTCGTCTTACCAGTATGTGAAATCAGGCATCATGTTGAACAATACATCCTCTTATGCAACACCAACACCGTCAATCAGGCCGAGTTGTAAGGACGTGCGAACCCAGGTGGCAGCATTAAGCAAAATTTCATGTCATGTGGGTGCCAAGCGAATATGTGACATCGTGTATGCGTTCTTTCCACCAGCGAACTGTTCGAACAAATGAGATCTTTGCACCATCTAGTGTAGCTACCTAGTGTTCGCATGCTCTAACAACTCCTCCATCCCTCCATCCCTATACTCCAAACTCTGATCTGCATGCCCGTAGCTCTTGACTCCAACTCCTGGAGGGGAGAAGTAGCTTCAGTGTCCGATGCTGGCTAGACGCCTTACGTTTGTTGTTCTCACTACGCGATTGCCTCGAATCGACACCGCAGCACCAAAAATGCAAAGATGCGAACATAAAACAAAACAAAACAGAATAGCACCCATGCTTGACCACGCCTGAGCACTTCAGCAAGCCCTCTTTGACAATCCAGGCCTTCAGCAAAGCAGTGCATGCAGGTTGCGGGCATCTGCAATGGTCACAGTAAGAGCGACGAAGCAGAGGCTCGTGCCAGCATGTCCTTCGCCTCCTGGAAGAGCTTCTTCGCTTCAGGGCCCACGCGCTCATCCTCCGCCCGAGTAGCTTACGGCTTACGCGCGGCTGCACGGCTACACAGCGATCATGTCGGAGTACTGTGCTGCCTTGAAGATGTGAGGGTAGTCGCGGTTGGGGTACTTGCCGCGAAGTTGGTACACCTCCCCAGCACACTACTGGATAGGCCGGCTCTGCCAAGCGAACATGTCTTCAGGTCGGCTTACGTCGGGCCGGGAGACCTGGAAGAAAGGAGTCCAGTCGATGTATTCCATGATTTCATCGATGGGGTGGTCCTCACTTGCAGCTTGCTTCACTAAACCGCTAAGCCTCCATCACGAAGGGCTTTCTATGCAGCCGCAGACCTTGATGCACAAGTTGCCAACGAACTTCCTGGCTCGTGACCCGGCTTCGGTCGCTCAGACTTTATTTGTGATACGATGTGAAAGCAAGAGTGCCAGTATGACGGCTTCGGCGGCAGCTTGCCCCAGTCCAGCTGTGGCTTCTTGGACTGCGCCTGAAACCGTGGGCAACATGCTTGCTCTCTTCCGAGTGTCATGTCTTGTTATCGGGCCTCCTTCAGCGACTTCCACTTCTTGTCGATCAAGGTCGCATAGTATTCCTCCCTGATTTCCGCATATTCCTGGAGCTGCCACGATTCGCAACCCACGATCTCTCCCAGCAATGCCCCCGCTGCAACTGCGCTCCTCCTTGATCTCGTCCAGATACGTTTGCTTGTCCTCGGACCTGGTCAGCTAGACCAGTAAGTTGGCGAACACAACAGTAAGGCAGACTGACTCGAGTCTGTGCACCTAGCCTTGTGCGACAGGCTGTACTATCTGTCGGTGGGCTTTGGATGTCGTTGGTGTTGCACAGCCGTTTGCTGTTTTGTGTGCAGCTCGCTGCATCAGTTGAAGCTCGCAGCCGACAGGGTTCACGTCTACGATCCACGGTTTGAGGATCCAGCCAGCAAAGAAAAAAGCCTCTGACTTTCCTATGCATTTCCCCCTGCCGTTGATGACACTGACATACCCGGGACATACCTGTGGTACAGCTCAGGCTGCTTGCACTCTGAAATGGCTGCGAAAATGAGAAGCCAGCAGCAGTGCGCTCACGACGGTGCAGCTTCTGCTCGCATCCAGGACCTGTGCGAAACGCATGCCACGCTACTGGTGGAGGGCTGCCACATCCGAGGTACCGACGTGAATCACGCCATTGTCGTACTTGGTGGTGACCTTCACCGCCTTGTTGCCGTTGATCGCGCTGGTTTCAAACTTTGTCTTCCACTCTTGGGGCGCCCCACCGTGTGCCGCTTCGATGTGGTGGCGCCACCGATCATCAACGGCACCTGGCATCCGGGGAAAAGCAGCACATTGCCCCAGCAAGACACACGCAGTGGGTCGCCTTCATGCCACGAGCCTTCATCTGCTCCTCAGATTCGCATGAGGACAGTAGCGCGGTGTGTAGTCGCAAATGCGGGCAGCTGAGCAGTTGAGGCACGGACGGCGACATAAACCATCTCGTCCAAGGAGGGTGTGATGAGCCTCAGCGCACAGCCTGATTTCTCGAATCACCAGAAGTCAAGACCGAGAGGCAGGCCCGGAAAGTCCAATGACATCCACTTTCTCCTGCGATTTTGCTGCGCACACATCCGTGCTACGAGATCTACTGGGCGATCGCATCTCCGCTGGCTCATGTGCGTCCTCGACGGCCTTCTCCAGGATGTTTTCGCAGGGCACCATGACACCCATGTCGATCACCTAGGTCTGCCAACCAAGAGCCAGGCCTCATCTGGCCTCAGCAACCTCAGCACAGGCCTTGAAGTTGTTGCAGCCCAGGACAACTCCCACGATGTTCTTGCCAATGTCGTGCACATCTCCTTTCACCGTTGCCTGATCGAGCTGCTAGCCCACATGGGCCGCTTTGTCAAACAGGAAGATGCAAAGACAGGGCTGGCCATCAGCACAATGCCGTTGTACTTGGGCTGATCAGGGTCCTCGCCGGCAGCGAGGGCCTCCAGAAACGGAAACCCTTTGTGCCAAGCTCGGAACCTGTCGTCTCAAGCCGATCTCAGGCGCGAACGGCAGCACGCTTTTCTTCCTCCATGAAGGGGGTCAGATACGCCACAGCCTGTCAGCATCTGTCGTCTCATCGACCAGTGACGGCCAGGATGCATTGCAGACTGAATTTCAATCTCTGGCCACTTGGCCTTCTTCATGACCCGTGCGCTCTTGATGACCTGCAAGATGCAGATTGCAGACATTCGCGATGTTCAGAGTGAAGCAAAGCCACAGGCCTGCGGCAAGAACATCTTTCCGGATCCGAAAAGGTCTCCGATGATGCCCATGCCTGTCCAAAGGCCAAATGCTACTAACACTACTCCCCTGCTCTGCAGATCTCTGCCGCATCAGGGCGAGCCTTCCATCAGCGGCCCCTCGATGACACGCAGCGGGACTTGGAGTTCTGCCCGGGCCTGCCGCAGTTGCGGCACAATGGAAGCCGTCATGTGCCCCGCAGGTATAAAAGCGGACCTCCTCGGTATCCCCCTCAATGAACTTGTCGATACCGTTGATCAGCCTCTCCGGCACAATGCCACACGATGTCATGCTTTTGGGGGACCAAAACATAACATCGCCAAGGCCACTGCCCGTAGTGCAGACGCTCTGTGAACGTGCCATTTCGCCAGGCATCCTTTGCTTCTGGACTACGAGGCGGCTTGAGACTTGCGAATCTTACGAAGCCTGCCTTGGCGGGAACACCACCCGCAGCAGCGCCCGCAGTTGGGGCAGGCTTGCGGACAGCCTCTGCAAATTGCATTCCGTGCGTCTTGAGACATCTTGGGACCCCCTGAGACTCACAGCTCTGAGTTGGCCTCTGCGTACTCCAGGAAGCGCTCGACCTGCAGGCACAAGGCCCAACGCCGCAAGACAGCACAGTCTGCGCCTCAAATACTGCAGCCGGACAGGTGTCTAGGCTTCCTGCGTGCTTGCCATCTGCAGACTGGTTCAGGATCACCTGCGAGAAACAAATGATCGAGCGAGCTCAAATCAGCCGTGGTGAAGCCAAAAGAAAGCACAAGGAGCCGCGCGCCTCTTCCGCGAGCTTGCGAGTGTTCTCGTCGATGTCCGTGTATCGGGGAAGGCCTGGCGACTCGGTTTGCAGTGAGAGGCCCCTCCAGGCTCCGCGCCGCACTTTGCCACGGCCTCCCGGGTTCACGATGGACATGTTCAGGCCCTTGGGCACTGCGTGGTAGAGGAACACACTGTGCATGGCATCCCGGAGGGAGTTCAGGCCGCGGAAGGAGAAAGACAGGTTGCTCAAGCCACCAGAGAAGGAGACGCATGGGCAGGTGCGCTTGATCTCCGCCACGGCATTGATGAAGTCGACGGCGTAGGAGTTGTGTTCCGGCAGCCCAGTAGCAATCGTCAGCACGTTGCAATCGAAGATGATATCCTCGGGGGGGAAGTCGATGTTCTCACGCAGGCACCTGTAGCTGCGCTGGCAGATACGAACCTTGTCCTCGAAGGTGGCTGCCTGACCCTTCTCATCGAAGGCCATGATGACCACGGCTGCACCATAGCGCATGCAAAGCTTCGCTTGGCGAAGAAACTCTTCCTCGCCGACCTTCAGTGAGATCGAATTCACGATGCACTTGCCCTGAACACATTTGAGGCCCTCCTCGACCACAGGCCACTTGGAGGAGTCAATCATGAAGGGTAGCTTGGCCACGGCTGGCTCGGTGACGCAGAGCCTCATGAACTTGCTCATGGCCGACTGCCCGTCGATGAGGTCCGAGTCGAAGTTGAAATCGAGAATGTCCGCTTTCTTCTCGCACTGGGCAATGCAAACCTCCATAGCCTCATCCCACTTGTAGGCATCCACCAGCTTCTTGAACTTGGCCGAGCCCATCAAGTTGCATCGCTCGCCGACCCACTGGAAGCCTGCCTCAGCGGTCACGTGGCAGGGCTCCAGTCCAGACAACATCATGCTGGGATACTTGGGCAGCTCTGGAAGCTTGCGCACTGGGCAGTCCTTCACCTTCTTGCAGACAGCCGCGATGTGAGAAGGGAAGGTGCCGCAGCAGCCGCCAACGAAGTTCAGGATGCCATCCTTGGCATAGTCCAGGATGTTGCTGGAGAAGATCTCGGGGTCTTCGTCATAGCCGCCCATGGCATTGGGCAGGCCAGCATTGGGGTAGACGTGGCACCAGGCTGAGTTCATGTCGCACAGCTTCTTGTAGAAGCCCTTCATCTGAGCCGCACCCAGTGCACAGTTAATGCCAACGGTGAAGGGCTGCGCATGCTTCACACTAACGTAGAAGGCCTCGATGGTTTGACCAGACAGCGTGCGGCCACTGTTGTCCACGATGGTGGCGCTAAGCATCACTGGCAGCCGCTCCTTTTTCGACTCGATGAAGTACTGGTCCACTGCAAAGATGGCTGCCTTGCAGTTCTGGGTGTCGAAGACAGTCTCAATCATCAGCAAGTCGACGCCACCGTCCACGAGACCGCTCACTTGCTGCTTGTAGGACTCCACAAGCTCGTCCCAAGTCACATTGCGGAAGGATGGATCCTCCACACTGGGCGACACGCTCAGGGTGCGGCTGGTGGGCCCAACTGCACCTGCCACGAATCGGGGCTTGTGCGGCTCCTCCTTCGTCACCTCAGCTGCTGCCTTCTTCGCCAGCTGTGCTCCCACTTTGTTCATCTCATGCACAACGGCCTGCATCTTGTACTCGCCCTGCGAGATGGTCGTGCCGTTGAAGGTGTTGGTCTCGCAGATGTCTGAGCCAGCCAGGAAGTACTCCTTGTGGATGTCCTTGATCATGTCTGGTTTGCTGAAGATGAGGAGGTCGTTGTTGCCCTTCAGGGAGACCGGGATGCCGTTGGCATCCTTCTCGCTGAAGTCCTTGAACCGATCCCCACGGTAATCTGCTTCCTCCAAGTTTTCTGCCTGGATGCGGGTTCCCATGCCACCATCCAGGAAGCAGATGCGCTTCTTCAACTCACCATTGAAGTAGTTGATCACCTCCGTGGGTGTTGGGGTCTTGCACTCGATGATCTTCTGGGCCACCTTCTGGGTCTCTTGCGGGCCCTCGACACGGCAGGGGTCCACGGCTTCGCAGCCGGCTTTCGGCTGAACATGCTCAGCTTCACACGAGACTGTCTCCTTAAGCGATCTGAGGAAAGTGCTCTGCTGCTCTGCCGTAGATTTCTCGATTTTCAACACAGGCCCAGCAGGAGCAGGAGCCGGAGGCTTCCTCACCTGCTCCGCATACTCCAGGAAGCGCTCGACATGATTGCCGTCCGCCGACTTGTTCAGAATCACTTCTTCGGCCAGGGCGCGGGTCTTGGGCTCAATGTCTTCGTACCTGGGAAGACCACCTGGGTTCACGATGGACATGTTCAGGCCCTTGGGCACTGCGTGGTAGAGGAACACACTGTGCATGACATCTCGGAGGGAGTTCAGGCCGCGGAAGGAGAAAGACAGGTTGCTCAAGCCACCAGAGAAGGAGATGCATGGGCAGGTGCGCTTGATCTCCGCCACGGCATTGATGAAGTCGATGCCGTAGGAGTTGTGTTCCGGCAGCCCAGTAGCAATCGTCAGCACGTTGCAATCGAAGATGATATCCTCGGGGGGGAAGTCGATGTTCTCACGCAGGCACCTGTAGCTGCGCTGGCAGATACGAACCTTGTCCTCGAAGGTGGCTGCCTGACCCTTCTCATCGAAGGCCATGATGACCACGGCTGCACCATAGCGCATGCAAAGCTTCGCTTGGCGAAGAAACTCTTCCTCGCCGACCTTCAGTGAGATCGAATTCACGATGCACTTGCCCTGAACGCATTTGAGGCCCTCCTCGACCACAGGCCACTTGGAGGAGTCAATCATGAAGGGTAGCTTGGCCACGGTGGGCTCGGTGACGCAGAGCCTCATGAACTTGCTCATGGCCGACTGCCCATCGATGAGGTCCGAGTCAAAGTTAAAATCGAGAATGTCCGCTTTCTTCTCGCACTGGGCGACACAAACCTCCATAGCCTCATCCCACTTGTAGGCATCCACCAGCTTCTTGAACTTGGCCGAGCCCATCAAGTTGCATCGCTCGCCGACCCACTGGAAGCCTGCCTCAGCGGTCACGTGGCAGGGCTCCAGGCCAGACAACATCATGCTGGGATACTTGGGCAGCTCTGGAAGCTTGCGCACTGGGCAGTCCTTCACCTTCTTGCAGACAGCCGCGATGTGAGAAGGGAAGGTGCCGCAGCAGCCGCCAACGAAGTTCAGGATGCCATCCTTGGCATAGTCCAGGATGTTGCTGGAGAAGATCTCGGGGTCTTCGTCATAGCCGCCCATGGCATTGGGCAGGCCAGCATTGGGGTAGACGTGGCACCAGGCTGAGTTCATGTCGCACAGCTTCTTGTAGAAGCCCTTCATCTGAGCCGCACCCAGTGCACAGTTAATGCCAACGGTGAAGGGCTGCGCATGCTTCACACTAACGTAGAAGGCCTCGATGGTTTGACCAGACAGCGTGCGGCCACTGTTGTCCACGATGGTGGCGCTAAGCATCACTGGCAGCCGCTCCTTCTTCGACTCGATGAAGTACTGGTCCACTGCAAAGATGGCTGCCTTGCAGTTCTGGGTGTCGAAGACAGTCTCAATCATCAGCAGGTCGACGCCACCGTCCACGAGACCGCTCACTTGCTGCTTGTAGGACTCCACAAGCTCGTCCCAAGTCACATTGCGGAAGGATGGATCCTCCACACTGGGCGACACGCTCAGGGTGCGGCTGGTGGGCCCAACTGCACCTGCCACGAATCGGGGCTTGTGCGGCTCCTCCTTCGTCACCTCAGCTGCTGCCTTCTTTGCCAGCTGTGCTCCCACTTTGTTCATCTCATGCACAACGGCCTGCATCTTGTACTCGCCCTGCGAGATGGTCGTGCCGTTGAAGGTGTTGGTCTCGCAGATGTCTGAGCCAGCCAGGAAGTACTCCTTGTGGATGTCCTTGATCATGTCTGGTTTGCTGAAGATGAGGAGGTCGTTGTTGCCCTTCAGGGAGACCGGGATGCCGTTGGCATCCTTCTCGCTGAAGTCCTTGAACCGATCCCCACGGTAATCTGCTTCCTCCAAGTTTTCTGCCTGGATGCGGGTTCCCATGCCACCATCCAGGAAGCAGATGCGCTTCTTCAACTCACCATTGAAGTAGTTGATCACCTCCGTGGGTGTTGGGGTCTTGCACTCGATGATCTTCTGGGCCACCTTCTGGGTCTCTTGCGGGCCCTCGACACGGCAGGGGTCCACGACTTCGCAGCCGGCTTTCGGCTGCACGTGTTCTGCTGTGCACTCGACTTCGCACTTCTGAGACCTGTGTGGGGAAGCAACAAGCATGTCTTGTGTTGGACACTCTTAAGCGTGCTGTGACGACGCACGGGCACAGCCTCAGCGACTCAATTTGTTGCTCGGGGGTGCTGGGCTTGAAGAGCTTCATTGTGGAAAACCTGCAGGCACAGTGGCGCCTGTGGCACTGCACAGCGCCCTTCAGCTTTCTTTTTGCCCTATAGCCATGCAACACAGAGAGCCTCACTCAGCCGCACCGTCTGTTGAAGACGCTCGCGTGCAAGTGGAAAATGGATTTGGTCAAGCTCCTGCAAAAGCTGCATGCCTTGACCCATGTCGCGCAAGCTGTGCACTGCATGCCGTGCTCCTCTCAAGAGGTTCCGGATATCGCTCGAGAGAGTATGCTCAACTGGAAGATTCAAGCCTTGGTCACTCCAAGTCATCGCTCTTTGGCGCGAGCTCTGCATGCAGCGGCTCCGGCACTCGCAAATCTCCTCAGGACTGGCAGTGCCTCGGCATTCGTCGCTTGCGACTCCGAGTCAAAGGCCAAAATCATGGCATACCGCTGCTCACGTGTACACAAATCGAACACTCCCAGGCTGCTACCGAATTCTGGAAGTGCATCAGGGTGGAGCGAGTCGAACCGAAAGGAAGGTATGCATCACCCGCATGCATGTGTCGATTCCGAACATGGCCATGTGACTTAACGGCTAGATTCCAGATGCTACTTACTCAGGAAAACAGAAAGGTGCATTGCTGTCACGTGCGTGGAGGTATGGAGATGAAGGCGAGCGCAGGCGCATCTTTCTGGATGGCACGCTGCGAATCTCGATCGTGCGGATCAGGCATGAGGAGCAAAACCGTTCGTCATCGGCTGCCCCATCCTCAGCTGAGAGCTCACCTGCGTTGCTGGGTATGTAGAGAGCTTGCTCTCTCACCGAGGCTTGGGCGGGGCGCCCGGCACAGGTGCGCCGTGGGCCCCCGCCTCCCAGGCAGGCGCAGGCCTGGGCACACGCGGCTCAGCCCCAGCATTCCCAGCTCCGCAATGTCGCAGCTTGCGCCCAGCGAAAGCGTCGCTCTAAGCGGCGGACTGCGCAGGGGTAAAGGCGGCCTCCCAGCACAAAGAGATTTCGCTTGCCACAGCCCCGATTATCATGAATGATGTATGGGCCTGTCCCGGCAGGACATTCTGCGTCTGGGCAAAATGAGCCTCCCGCGGGCTACGCACTACGCACCTTGCCTGAAAACAAACGTCCAACGTGGTGTGGCCTGCTGGTATTGTAGCTGGCTCTGTGCTGGAGGTGCAGCTTGCGGAGCCGCATTCCTGGCTCAGGAGAGCTAGGTTAGTCACTGTAGACAAAAGTGGTTGCCAAGCCACGGCAATACTGCGCCAGAGAGACTGACCGGTCCCTGGCCTGAGGCGGGTTCGGGGGGTACTTCGACTGTGACCGGTGGTGTCGGCTGGCTGGGCTCACGACGGGCAGTATGAATTCGCAGAGGTATAAAACCGATATTCGGGATCCTCAAGCGACAGCAACAAGACTGCTTCAAAGTTCATACATCTCTTCCTGCAGCACGCCTTCAGATCAATGCACGGAGCCGAGGAAGATATGTTTGTCCTCATCCACACACCAGACTTCAGATGCTGACAATTTGCGCTTTTGGGAAATCCGGCGTTTTGCTTATCTTGACCGAAATATGCTCAGCAGGTCCCTTGTATTCTCATGAAGATGCTGATGTAATAGGACTGCAAGTTGTTCGCCTGCAGAAGTCAGTGTCAACTCACTTGTTTGCAAGCAGACCGCTCCGGCAGGGATGGCCTCCATTTTCAGAGTTCCTTCAACGTGCTGACCGGCATTGACGGCCAGCGGCACTTCCAGCAAGAATCGTATCTGGTACCTGTTGCTTGAAGCGACAGTAACAGCTTTGCAAAAACAGATCTTTACAAAATTGATGCAAGGGGAGCACCAGTGAGTTCCTGGACACGTCGGTGCTGTAGACAGGACCACTGTCTGGTTGGTGCCCTGCCAAATCTAACCCAAGCTGGCTTGGCCATCAATGCCATGAAGATCCGTGATTGCGGCCTCGAAGAAAGCATCAAACCAGCCGGCTATTCCGTGCACCTGGCCCATGCAGGGGGGACAGAAACCCTCGCCACAGGCGCGGACGCTGCAGCTCTCGCACCAAGACTCTGACCAGACACGGCTGCGAAATCTCAAAGTCGAAAGGGATCTCGATCCTGACAGAAGCACTGTCTTACAGCTGTCAGTTCATCGAAGGACTGTTCCAAGGAGGCTGCGTATGAAGCGACTCGATCGTAATGGTTTTGAAATCGAACCTTCAACATGAGAGGAGCAAACTGAGTCAGAATCAACGCACTTCTCAGCGCTTCCATCCTCTTCTCGATGCACTTTGAAACCAGGCAGTCTGGATTGATGTAGTCCACGACGGGTTGCCGGAAGTGTTCCCTGTGCTGAAGAGCAAAGCAACAGCTCGGCGTAGCCTACACCACCTTGAACCGGCCTTGTGCATCGCTGCACTGCTGCTGTGAGGTCAATCCCGTAGAAGTTTGTGTTTTTCCAGAAGCCGTTCCTGGGTTATGCGTGTCTGCGCCTGCGCCTTGTGCTTTCTGCAGTCATGCAGGTCATGCAGTGCAGCTTAGCAGCTTGTTCTGCTGCTCCCAGTGCAGAAGGGAATCGGAAAACGGAGCTATGCCTGGCTTCGGTTCGACACTAGCTCTCTCGACGACACAATCGCTCCAGCCACACTCCAAAGTCCTGGAAGGGACTGCGCATGTTTCAGGCCCTTATGCCCAGAAAGCATGCAGGCAGGGCAGATCGTTCCAACGTTCGGGAACATCTTGCCACCGGGCTTGAGAAACCGATCACGAGCACAAAGGTAGCTCTCGATCATCCTGCTAGACGCTCACAGATCTCCGCGCCCCGTCCAAAACTCTCCATACGCTAAGCGGCCTTTCATTGAACAGAAAGGTGCCAATGGGCTCAGACACCAATACGTCTACCTGCAAGCTGAACGGCAGAAAGCCGCAAGAAAAGAAGGTTCTGCCATGGCTGGATACTGTACCTGCCCATCGAGCTCAGATGTCGTGATAGTCTCCACAGGCCTGCTGATCACCTGGCCGCTCCACGTATGTAATTTCGGAAGAGCCCAGACATGCCCAGATCAAGTGATTCCGCAGCCTCTACCTTCTTTGTCAAAAACGGATTCGCGTTGGAGAGCAAGCGCACCACTTCGGCCATTGACGATGCCTGGCTGCTCACACCAAAAGCCCAAGCTGAGATGGAGAGGGCAAGACCACAGCGTTGCCTCCACTGCGTGCACTTTCTCGGCGCCTGCCTGCTACAAGACATGAGAAGGAAGACACGGATAGACAGTAGTGGGGGAGGCAAACATGGAGGGAAAGGATTGTACACATGCACACACGGACAGATATGATAGACGAGACGCAGAGACACAGCGCTGACCACAGACCTTGATGTTGACGGGAATTGGAGTCCGTGGTTTTCAACTGGCAAACAGCACAGCTCCGATAGCGTCAATAATTATTGAGCCGCTATGGCACCCAAGAATCAAGATTGAGAAACTCGACAGCACCCAGTGGGGTGTGGTGCCGCTGGTTGTGCTTCCAGTGACCCTCTTCACAACTGCGTTCCACGACTGTTCCCATGTGTTCCGGAGGAGGTTTTCAAGACGTGTCCTGCTCACAGAGCCAAGTTCCCAGAGAAAACGTAACACCCGAATCGAACAAGTTCCACGCCTGTTTGCATCGAGCCCTTATGATCCCACATAGGAAGGTAGGTGCGTTGCTCCGAAAGATTGGTCCATGGGAGAATGAATGGAAGGAGATTCGGAAGCCCCGCCCACCCGGCCCTGCCAGCCTACCTCTGCTTGCTGCCGACCCATGAACAAGCTGATGAAAAGCTCCGAAATCTCTAGCATCCGTCAAACTTGAGAAGCTTGAAGGGTGCTTCACAAAACGCAGGGCCAGCAACATGATCGCGACCAAGGGCGAAAAGTTGCCAGCTTCCATAAGCCGCTCAAACACACTGTTGGTTTCGCCAGAAGATAGAGGGCTTCGCAGACGGATGGATTTGCTTCAAGCCGCTGCTGCATCTTCGAAATTTCATTAGACTCTAGACAATTTGAAACGAACAGAAGCTTAGCAGAGGACGGCAACCAAAATTGAACATCGACACGTTAACAAGCTCGAACTGAACTGCTTTGCTATGTTGCACTTCATGTTGTAGCTTGCTGCCATGTTGCAACCTTTAGTTCCTCGGCATGTGCATGGTTTTCCCTGTCTTGTCGCGGATCAGTTCTCTGTGGTTTCCCTAACTGCAGAGTTAGGGCTCACGCAGACACGTAGAGAAAGCCAGGTAAAGGCACAAAGAAAGGATCGCGGGACCCCGTCAGTGTTGACTGAACGGCTGACGCAAAGCTCGGCGCCAACTGGCCCCGGCACCACAATGAGAACACCGTCAGCAGCACAAGCACCAACCAAAGCATGAGAAAACAACGAATGCAAATTAGATTGCGCCGAGCCGACTGGGGATCTGGGCGGGGTTTACACTAGTTTGTTGAACCGGTCCTTGGGATACATCACCGGCCTGCCTGCACCGAAAAGAAGGAGAGGATGCCGCTCCCAGCACCCAAATCCATCACGACCTTCCCTTGGAAATCATCGGGGTTTTCGACCTGGGTGGGACCGAGAGCATCCATCCAAGCTCGACGCAAGAAACTCTCCTTGGTCGTTTGAGAGCCTGGCAATAGCTCGCTGGTAGGTCGATGTTCGCACACTGTCTTGCAGCATGTTTTGCTGGTTGGACAGCTTGGCATAGTACTGGAAATAGCTCTGGACGCCTTGGTGAACACTTGCACTGGTCCCAGTGCTCTCGTCCCTCAAGAGTCATTTCCCTGGCAGGCAACCGGCGGACCCAGACAGGGAAGGAAGGCAACTATGTGTTCTCACACGAATCAACAGATCTTGCTTTGCTTTGCTCTTGGCAGTTGGAGTTCATGTACAGACCACTGGAACCCTCACCCTTCGACGCCGCAACGCGCCTAAGCTCGCTTCTTGTTTACCTGACGCCTCCCACTGTCAAAGCAATAGCACTTTAAGGCTTTAAGGTC